TCATGTTGGAGAATAAAATATTCAGAGATTGCTTTTAAACCAGCGTACCGTTTATTTCGGATAAATTATGCAACTAGACAAGGGTTTTTTTGTCGCCCCCCCTACATACAAGCCAGTACCATTCACAGCGTCCATAAGAATATCCTGCGGAGCGTTATGTGAAAGCATGTTTTATGAAAAGAATTCAGCCGCCTTCATACATCTCCAACAGAAAATATGTGCACATTGAATGCACTGAAAGCACGACAAAGACTGTTTTATTTATTTTTTCTTCCAGCTTGGAAGCCCCGGCAGCACATACCAAGCATAGACAGTGTCTTTTTCATTCAGCCCTCTCGTTACATCACACATCCTCCACTTCCCCCTCTGCTTTGTGCCACTGACCATTGCTGTGCAGTGATCCGAAGGTATGGAACTGGCAAAACCTCATCCGTAAATGCTGACCAGGGGGAAAAGTATTACAAAGGTGTGTTTTAGTTTAGGCAGCGTATCGTTCACTTCAGAGGGTTCGATGGGGGGGCGCCTATCGGTGACGTGCACATTTGTTTTTAGCATTTAAGCAAAAACCAAAATACAAATCTTCAATCTTTCCAGCTGAGACAGATGAGAACATATTAATCGGTTGTATAAGCAGCCACATCTCACATATAGATCTGTCCACTGTAGCTGTTGTCTCTTTGTAAGCTCTTCAACTTAAGGGTGCTGTGATCACATGTAATTTGAGATGCTACTTTCACTGAAGTGGTTCAGAAATAACGCAGAGATAGCGGCCCTGTGCACTCTTAAGCGCCAGCATATCTCGGACTAATGGCTTTGATTTAGACCGGATCTGTGCTGCTTGTTAATGTGCAGACAAGAAAAAATATGTGATGCTATTTCTAAGACGCAGTAAGCTTTTCCTTTTAAATATTTCCTGTCAACCGGACATGGAAACATTGAATAGCAGCGACTTTTTGTCAGGGCAAACTTTTGTCTTTGAGACCCGAGTCCAGAGAAATGTGTGTGTTCAACGAAGAACCCTCCGGGGTGTGAGTGTGAGGTCAGAAAGTGGGCAGCAAAAAGGTTTTCTTTTCTTTTTTAGCTGTGTGTCTGTCAAACACTGGTGTGTAAGTGCAGTTGCACCTTTTGTGTGTTTCATTTCAGCGTCTCTGTCAGTGGTTGAAAGAGAATGTTTGAAGTCGAGATAAGATAATGCGCCGCCATGCCATATAACCCACAAATCACCCGCCTCTTATCTGAAGCCAAATATTTGACCACGGCCGCTGAGTGTCCTGCCTGATAAGTCGTTTTGTTTGTCCAGGACCGATACAAGTGAAAGGATTTCAGCGTCGCTCGCAGCCATGCGCCGTCTTTCTGGACTCTGTAACTTCCCCCTCAGATGCCGGAGAGGTCAGCGGTTAACGGTACAGCGAGTGTCTCGGACACACTAATGGGTTTAGATGCGGCCGCGCTACTTACACTGCTGTGAGTGATGCCATATTGGCTCAAGCTATTAGCTGCAGAGTGCTCCGGCACCCAGCGCGCGCCCTCCATCGGAGCCCCCAATCAATGTTCGCTTTGACACGAGACGACACGCCGTTGTTTTATTTGGCCGTGTCGTCAATTAAATATGTCACGTAGAACAAGATTTGCAGGTTTTACGGTAATTGGCATCCATTCTGATTCCTGCATCGCTTTAGAGCTGGTTTGACAAATTGGGTTACAAATTGACCTGAACTTATTATCCCCCTTTGGGTTTTGAAGTGAGCCGAGTAGAGGTCCTTTTAATTTGAGTGTTATCAGCGAAATGTCCAAAGTTAAAGTCGTGGTTCTCGAGTAACTGATCAAGGGAGAGATCGTTTTAGCAACTTTAAAAGCTTTCTGTTAAACTCAGCTGAGGGATGAGATGGTTAATAGGAAAGATGCATACAATAGATTAACTTCCCACAGTGCGACAATTTAACCTCCCCTGAAAGTCTGATAAATGTAATTGACTCAAAGTAGAAAGTTAAATTAAATTGAAATGTTCAATCAAGGTCAAACTGCAAAACTGCACTTAAAGGCTGAGTATCAGACGCTGCAAAAGAGTCCATAATAACCAGGGTACCAGCGTCTGTGACGGTCAATGACCTCGCTCCATGGCATTGATGAGCCCATGAGGAGAGTTGGCCCGGCTCATCCCGCCCCGGCACCCAAACCAGCAAAAGGGGATTTCCCCAGTGGGCTCTTCAACTGGGAAACGGACACAAAATGCTTCACTTATCTTTGCCTTCCACCGCCTGTAGAAGGAAATATTGAACCACAGGCCGCTGCATGGATTCTCCAGCCACCCGGCTCTTCTCTATGGATTGATACCAAGTTGTGTTTTGGTCCCGCTGTGAACTCGCCCCGGGCTCTCTCTGAGAATGCGGGAACGACGGGCCAAAATAGAGGATTACTGCATCTTTCGAGCGGCTTCTGCAAGCCCTTATTTTGATCTTGAGTCCAGGCCAATGTCTGCTCACTGGAGAGGAGACGATACCACGGATAACAGCCCCCCCCCCCAACGCTGTAAAGGAAAACACACATGCATCCACAGCGAGAGGGCTTTCTCGCTTGCTGTTTCAACCTGACGATGAGGGAGTCCCTTCTGTGGGACACCTGGTGGCCTCCGCAGTCACCGATTGGGTGGCTGGGTGAACCGACACCGGACAGGAGCACAACAGATGGCCACGGCGTTTCACTCGAAAAATCACTCCGCCAGCAGCGGAGCGAACAGCTCGAATACTAAATAGTGAAAAATCCCTTTCAGCATGTGCATCCCCGTCTACTGAGAAAGAGAGTTGTGACTAGATGGAGATGTTGTTAGACCATCAGACATGCTCTCTGCCCCCCCTCCCCTGACAGAAAGCTGTGGCTGCCTGGTGACTCACCCTCACCAAAACACGAGGCCTACCTACCAGGTGGAACATTTAATTACGTCAGCCTCGGGTGGATTGGCTTTTGTTCTTCAAACAAATGACTAATCATTTGAACGGGGAAACCAGCTTCTGGGGCCTCATTTATAAAACCTTGCGTAGGATTTGCGCCAGAAGTGGCGTACGGATGAAACTTAAGACGTGCGTACGCACAGAAATATTCAAACCGTGCGCACGCATGTCCTACGCAGTTTTCCCTTTTATAAATCACAATCACTTCTAAATGCAGCGCAGCTTTTGCGGCTTCATGTCACGCCCACAGTTGCCCATATATGCCCATATATATGCGCAGCCTCACAACCTCGAACCGTGGCCCAAATAAAGAAAAAATGGTCTGACATCAAAGAGGATGCAAAAAAGCGTTTAGCGCGCCATCGCCACGGTGTGTCTGCCCCGGATGGGGAGAGGGGACACTGGAGCTGTCCCCTCTTGATGAGAGACTGGCGGCAATGATTGGGGATCGGGGGTCTGGGCCAACATCGGCGTCAGGGGGTCGAGGCACGTTTGGAAGCTGTGCCACATTATGTAGCACAGCACACGCCAGCAGGATTTTGCACACCTTTACAGGAGTAAACAACAACCTCCCTCCAGTGCAGCCGAGGCAGCGCCGTCTGCCCTTAAACAGGCCGATGGTGCGTCTAGTTTTACAGTTTCACACACGTTTGCGTGTTTCTTGCATTTGCCGACGGTTCTCATTTCACCCGTTTTTGTGCGTACGCATGGGTCCGAGCTTGCGTGAAGGACCGCACATTTTTCCGTCAAGTTTGCTTTTTATAAATACCAATTATTGCGTAGAGAGCGGCGCACGCCTTCCTTTGTGCGTACGCAACGTTTATAAATGTGGCCTCTGGTCGTTGGAAATGTCACGTGACCTCATTGGATGCCGGCTGCTCGGATCTCTTTGTATGTACCGATCGTTGGTGGCTTCCCTCGTTTTTGCCCTCTGCTGTTAAATCAATATGTTTGCTTATAGTTTTAGTCAACGAAGAAGGAAATAAACTGACTGCTTCTTACAAATACTGACGACATCACAATGTCTAAAATGAGAAAAAAAGTTGGTGCCAAAATCTTGATAATGACCAGGACACGAAAATGCACTGATCAAAGTTAAATCAATTACTCCTGATAACAAACCCTTTTCAATTCATATTGTTCTATTGTAATTTGAAGACTTGCAAGAAAATGCATCTATTGTTAATTCCCATCAATATTGACTTCTAAACGAACCAGCCAGTAGTTGTTGTCTCTAACTCGTTGGTGGTTCTTTATGAGTCGTACCTGCCTGGCCGGTGGGGGTTTTGTTTGGCTGTTGGTTGGCTTTAGCTTTTTGTTGTGCAGCTGGACTCGTGGGAAGCGTGTGTCAGGGGGAAGCGTGGCTATGGTTTTCTGTGAGGGGGGGTGAACGTAAAGCGGGCCTTTGAAGGTCACATATTGCTGTGGATCCATGCGAGAGGTTTGGAATTGAGCTTGTGTCTCGCTCAGTTGTTGTTCAAGTGGATCTCGTTTCCTAATTCTATAATACCATTTCCTTTTTTCACATCCTCCTCCTCCACCCAGTCTGGATCCCAGTGTGCCAACGGGTTTCACTTCTTTAGAGGCATCTGTAGGTATACGTTGCTTACTTGGTCGATAACGAACAGACGGCAGTGAGTCACATAAGCCTCTCTGTTCAACAAGACATCTCACTGCGCCGCGGCTTGTCAGAGCATCTGGGCCATGTCAACTTCCATGAAGAATTCGCCCATAAAGCTGACGACGTAAATCTTGATTTAGTAGCAACAGGCGAGGAGATTTTTACTCGATGACGATGGTCACAAAGCTGAGTGAGGAAAATAAGACTTAACGAGTTGCGCTCGGTTGTGCACTTACTTTCTTTGCAGTTATTTTCTTAATCCCTCCGAGCTGCATGTTATTATTATCACAACCGCTGAGCTAAAGAGGAATAAAGCCCGCAGTACGGCCTTGCTTTTCATCTCCAGGTGCGGGTCGTGGAGTGTGCTCACGCTGTGTCAGCCCAGCCACTAATTTGTTTCTCCCCCTCTTGTTCTTTCCCCTCTCCCACAGGCTCTGCAGCCTCACGCTGAAAAAGCTGGTCGTACTCAAAGAACTGGATAAGGAGCTGAACTCCCTGTCCATAGCCGTCAAAATCCAGGTGGGTGGGTTCGTCTCCCGTGTGCAACGTGGGCATCGGGCCCAGATAGCAAAACAACAAACATTTGAGGGCAGTGTGTCGGGTCACTGTCACACAGGTCGGAGCTGTGCGCTGCGATCACGAAGCCTAAGCGACGAGGAGAGATGAAAAACCTCCTCAATGACAGCCCGGCCTAAGCAGGAGCGTTGGCGCCTTCAGACGGATCGTGCATCTTGCATTGATTGCGATAGCATTTTTGGTGACACTGGGCGTGCAGGTCTCGCGTGCCTGACGTTCAAAAGTACATCGCCGTCTTCCGTGACGTAAATTCCCATCCAGGCAGAGAACAAAAGCGAGTAGTCCCAAATCGATGCGAGTGATGGCAAAAGCCGGCAGATGGCTCGGGAGGAGGGAGTTAGCGGATGTTTCAATGTGGGAACATCTGCCGTGGCGCCTCTGTGTGGACAATCCGGTTAGTTTTACATTTCGCAGCTCGCCAAACCGCCGCACATTTTGTTTGCTCGCTGCAGTCGAGTTGCAGCGGACTCCCTCTGAGCTGCAGAGTACGTGCACAACAACGTGGAGATGACTTGAGGTTGTGCCCCTCTTTTAAAGTCCACAACCGTTCACCAATTTCCTCAATTATGTTCAAATATTTTATTGATGATATTATACCAGATTACACTGCATCATAATCATGGAGCTCGACGCCCTGGTGTTTGATCCAAGTGGGCACGGCTGCAACTATCGAGATCGTAGACTCCGCCGTGGCGCTGAAAGCCTGCATTCGCCTCACAGTCTGGAAAACACGTACTCAGCGGTGATCCCGGTGGCGGTTGTGAAGATGATGGTCCGCTGCTTCTGAAAGCGTCGGTTCCGAGAGAGAACCGAGGCCACTGAGTGCACCACACCAGAGACCAACACTCTGCCCTGAGGTAGCCATGTGGAAATAATTCTCAAAGGAATAAGCCATTCAAACCTTCTTGACTGTAGTTGCCTGGAAAATACTTGGAGAAGAGAATTTCCGAATTCGACTCGGCTAGAAGCGGAACGAGAGGAGGGAGCCAAATTTCTCTCTAACTTGCACCTGAAAGATTTAATGCGAGTGAGAGAATCTAATTATGTAGCCGTCAGTGACCAGCGGTGTGTTTTGCAGAACTATAGTAGGATACAAACCATTTGATGTGTTTTTTCTCCCCCTATTGTTTTAATCAATTGGAAATTTGAAGTTGCTCAGGTTTGTTCTATTTTAACAACTCATCCCCCTTCGACGGTCATCCTGAAAGAGAAAGTTACCAAATGTGACTTCATCCACGATGACATGTGGTCTCCGGGCCGTTAAATCTTTCCGTTTCTGTCGAGCAAGTGTAGAAGATGACTGGGGGAAAAAACCTCTTTGCTCTTCTGTGTTCGGCATACGGCAGGCCGTCTCTCGCTCTCGCTCTGGAATCCATCAGGTGGCCCCTGTGATGTCGAACCGCTTTGACCGTCTCTCGAACCCCAGCAGCAGGGGCGATGAGACTGCGGTCTTGGCTCCTCGTTCTCTTGGAGACCGTCTTCGGTTTCTCACCCTGAAGACCGCCCGAGTCACTTCGAGCGGGCCAGGCCCTCCATGGTACATTCTCTGCACATTTGGTCGCAGGGCGGAATGCCGGTGTGCGTATACACCGTGTGGTCCGTCTCTTCTGTACGCAGACGTCTGAGGTTGCGGGCAGACATCATATCAGCTGGATTGTGGTAGCAATCCTGATCTCAGCCCAAGCTGCTGTTCAAAGCACTTCCATCTGCAATCTACCCTGATATGGTCCAATTTTGGTGTCTTTTTAAAATGACCTTGAAAAGAAGTTAAAAGATGAACTTTTCCCACAGGCTTGTGGAGTCGAAGGGCTGAACCCCCCCCTTCCCATCTGGCCCCAGGGAGACAGTGGATAAGCTTGTAGCAGGAGAGAGCGGGCCAGAGAAGGGGAGGGAGTCGGGGGGGGCAGGCGAAGGACATTCAGTACAAGCTTTCCTTGCCAAGGCTCCGTATTGTTAAAGCATGTCAGGCAGTTTGAGAGTGCTCGCCTTTTGTGCCTTGATTCATTGTACCAGCCACTGAGCATGAGAAAAGAGGCCTCTTTGTGGAGCTCAGGTTAGTGACAAGGTCAGACCGTGACAAAGAACTACCCCCTTTTTTCTTTTAAATACAAAGCAACGGGTACTGTTGGCGCGTCCGTGTGGGGAACATATTGAGCCATCAGGCTCGCTGGAATGATGCTTAATAGAAGAAGAAGTTTCAGCAAATATTCTCTACTCCCATTTACCCTCCTGTCCTCCACAGCTTTGATGCAGATTTATTGCGTGAAACTAGTGACCTTGCGGTAAATGTTTTTTTTGTTTGTTTGTTTTTATTGATTTAATTTTCTGAGCGACCCTGAAACCGTGTTGTGTGTTTGTCCCCGGGTGCTCACACACTCACACACTCATACACTCGCTCCAGAGAGCGTCCTTCAAAACCACTGGCACAGAACAACGCGTCCATTTAAAACAACTCCCCATCAGCTACAACACTCTGCATAACGCAGCCTCTTCCTACCTGTCCACACTCCTTCAATGGCTCACTCCTTTGCGTACCCTCGGATCGTCAAGCGCTGCCCTCGTCAAAGCCCGCGTTCAGGGACCAAACGCGGCCAAAGACCTTTTACTTCCAGTGGAGAAGACGACGGATTTGTGTGGTCTCCGTTCTGTGCGAGAATGTTCTGATTTGGTTTTCATCCCTTCGGTGTGCTGCACCATAAAAGCGCTGCTTTATTCTGCACGTGATAAAATGTGCACCACAAATTTACCAATCGCACATACGTAAACTTACGGAGGCACCGCAGCCCCCGAGGACACGCTGGGAGCATTTAAATCCCTGTGCTGTTTGGCCACAAGACGTCTGTGCCAGCTCCCTGATTTAACTGAGGTGGAACCGAATAGCAAGGTGCGGTTCATTTTAGTTGAATCACAGTCCTCTTTTCCTTCCGAGCTCAAACATCCCTTTCAAGGCACGATTTAGAATCCCGTCCAGTTGTTCCTGCGGTGCTGTAGGCAGCAGTTGCTCGCTAAGGTTCGCGTGGAATTGGTGATTTGTGATTCGTAACTCTTTATCTAATACTTCATCAGTCTGTCTTTCAAACCGCAGCTGGTGATAGTTGGACAAGTGGGAAGAAGAAGGCCGTTTTGATGAGCGTGCTGATTTTTCGTTCTTTCACGACAATCAGTCCGGGGACTTTGAGGGGACCAAATGGATTGTAGGGTTGTGACTAGGCTTCTGATTCTGTGAATTCTTGTGTCAGGTCTGGTAAGCCGTATGATACGTCTATGAAGCAGTGAAGGAATAGAGGACTGTTTGTACTGGTCTCGCCTCAAGGTGTGAATCTCCATAAATGTGTGAATGCGAAGCTGGCCGGTCCTAAAATACAGCTTGCACACTCAGTCACTCTCGTCTGATGGAGATTTGCTCGAGACGCAACATAAGATAAGGAGTTTGAGGGATGTATAATGTTGTATATGGTTTATAAATGCATATATTCAAACTTATATTTCCTTTTGTCTTCCAGGGTTCAAAGCGTCTTCTAAGATCAAATGAGTACGTCGTCCCACCCAGCGGACTGATGGAGACGGACTTGGAGCTCACATTCTCTCTACAGGCAAGCACTGGAACATGATACTGTGAATTCTCACACGGATACGGCAGTCACTTGGCGGGGTGGATTATGTTGCAGCCTTTTATTCGCACTTGTGCCCCTTCCAAACCCAGAGCAAGAGTGTCTATCTGAATATGCATGCTTATTAGTATTTTGTTTGGAGGAAATGCTGTTTTGTGTTTAACAGCTCGTCACTCACAGGAAGTTGCTAATGTTGAATTAACGTTTTTTTCAAATGCAATTTTGCCCCGTACAGAAATGACTTTGTCTTGTGTTTCCTGTTTGAAATAATAAACACCTGGTGCATGCTGACCCTTTGCGGACTGGATTAGAAGTTAATTTATCACGGCAAACTAAGCTGGGACAAGTGATCAAGTTGTGGTTTTACGTATGTTTTTTTTTTGGTACGATATCTCAATGCACTGCAAATAAAGAAACGTCTTTGACAACTTGACAATCTTTTTAGAACATTTCAAATACAAAACTATGATTTTTGGCGGCATATGCCGCCTCTCACTTTGTGAAACTTGAGCTATTATTGTTCACATATTTAAGATCAAGAGAGCAAGAAAAGCCCGTGTGAAGCTCGAGCAGTCTGACCCGATATTCATCCAGAAGAGAAAAGACGAGGCTGAGAAGCAAATAGGAACTTCTGGAGGGAAACGTAGTTCTGAAGTGATGACGGTTCACCCAACAGTTCAGCCGTAGTCCAGCAGACAGACTGATCTAGTATCAAACACCCGCCACGTTGGCTCAGTGCTGGTGCTTTTATTTATACATGAACTTGAGCAGAGTGTGTGTCAGCGCTGTACACCAACATGACCGCATCCTGACTGACGGCCTATCTAAGATAGCCAAACGGATGGGAAGGAGCACACAAGCTAACACCGGAGATGTCGGATGGCACTGATAAAATAACGTGGCCACACTTGATGCAACGTTTAGGGTGGCAATGATCTACGCTGGCACAGATAAGCAGTCGCAAGGGGATGCAATGAAATGTTGGCCAGAAAGAATCACATCGACTCATTCAAACCTAACAAGGAATCGCTGGCACAGGCGGTCTAAAGAAACCGTGTGCACTGTGGCAGCAAAAGGCAATGAGTCAAATCTAGCCCCCTTATAATAAGTGTATAAATGCAATTCCTGGTATAGGATACGTTTACATTATTATCTGACTTGATTTATTTGTTGTTTTCAGTACCCCCATTTTCTGAAGAGGGATGCCAACCGACTCCAGATCATGCTGCAGAGGAGGAAACGCTACAAGAACCGCACGATCCTGGGCTACAAAACTTTGGCTGTGGGAGTCATCAATATGGCCGAGGTACCGTGTGGTGCTCAACTTTCAATCCCTTGATTACATTTCTCTCGAGGATCATTTCGCTCTGATCGCGTTGCCTGCGTACCAGATCTCTGTTTGCAAGAGAGAGCTCCTCGTGGGCCCCACGTCATTTCATATGACTCGTGGTCATCCCGTGTGCTGCTGGGTGAGATGATTTGCCATCTGGAGCTGGCTTTAAACGCTCCTTTCTGGAAACGGTGCATTCAGTCATGCAATAATAAAGGATTAGGAGCTGAAAGAATGCCACCTGCGGATGCCTGTCTGAGGTGCAAACGTACGGCCGAGCTCTTATTTGTCCTGATCAGTTCATTTCATGTTGAGTACATCGCTCAGACGGGCATGCGGTGGGGACTTAGGTTACGTCAGACTGAATATTTGGCCACCGTGCCATCAAGATGCCATTTTGTGCTTTGGCCTGTTGTCAGTTTGGATCTTCCACGCTGAAGCGGCTGGCTGCTCTTAACTGTGCCACTATAAACACTGTAGGAAAATAATGCATTTCAGTATTGTAACGCTGTGGGGGTTGATAGCAGGATTACTACCGTAGAATGCAGTAAACAAAAGATCAGAAGTTACGTATTTATCTAAATTAGTCCAGCATCCTTGTACGTGAGGGGAATCAAGACCGAGATTTTTAAAGGAATAAGCAAAGTCTTGTTTATTTGAATGCACCCGTTCGTCCTCAGCCAGTGGGACTTTCCAACAATAGCCCCAGGATGTCGGTTGACTGACCTCTGACAAACAAGACCGATGCTTTATTACATTTTGAAATGACACCAAACCGCTGTGCTGCTTTGGGTGCCTCCTGGTGCGAAATGATCCATAGATTTCTATGACTATTGCTGGATTGGATTCTGTCGGGTAATTATGTTACCCGCTGTTGTGTAAACTCCCCCGTGCCCCCATTCTGAGCGTTACGTGGGAGGAAGTGACTTATTGGACTTTGCAGGGTTTGCGTGGACAGCTGCCAGTGTTCGAGCAAAGTGGACCTGCTGCCTGTACAGCTACTAGATTGAAAGCTCAAACCTGGCGTCGATAGCGTAGCCGTCAGCTTGTAATCAGTTGCTAAATCTTTGCGAGCATAAAGCAGTGTGTAACGGGAGCCATGTCAATCTTTGTTTTATCATTATTGGCTCGCTGAAGCGGGGTACAATTATTCCATGCTGTCTGTTGTATTTGTTCCATCTGCCCTGGCGCGCCTCTACAGAGTGATTGATAGACGCATAGATTAAGATGCCATCTCTCTGAAAGACTGCTCTGTTTCAAGAAAATATATTATTGTTATCAGGAACATTGCAGGGGAAGGATTCATGTGTTTCGTATACAACCAGACTGGATGGTAATCTCCCCATGTCCAGGTGATGCAACACCCGACAGACGGAGCACAGATTCTGGGTCTCCATAGCAACGTGAAGGAGGCGCCAGTGCGCGTGGCGGAGATCAGCGTGCACTCTCTGTCCAGCCAGCCCATCGACCACGAGGACGGCAGCGGTCAGGCTGGCCACAAGACCAAGACCTCAGGTGAGCGGCGGCGTCTTCCGTCCCGCTAACGAGGGTCCGTGAGACGAGCTCGTTCCAACGGCGCCAGGTCACCCCCGTCGTGTAACTTCAGCCGTCACGCCGGAGAACAGCCCCTCCTGTCCGGGCGCCTTTCTCTTCCCTCCTTCCAGATGGCTCCTATTTCCCAACCGAGGAACGAATAAACCCCATTAATCCCCCCCCGACCTATGGCCGAGGACATGCTATTCTCCTCAGCTGTGGTTGTAATGTGGATTCGAGAGTTGAAAAAGATTTAGGGGGCCATTACCTGACACCGTTCTAATTCTGGACGGGGAGAGACATTGGAACCCGCTCATCCCCTGCTGCTCTGGATGTTATTAAGGAGGCTGTTAACATAACCGATGAGCTCATGCACCAAGTATTACAAGAATGTCACTCTGAGGGAAAGAAAAAAGGTTTTCGTCTGTCCGATCCTCTAGAGTGATCCTTAATAACATCCATCCCAGCATCAGAATTGGCTGTTAAGAAAAAATAGCTCCCCTGGCCTGTTAACACGCAGTGGAAAAGACATCTTTTAGGAATATCTTTGGCATTTAACAATAGTAAAATTTTCAACTGCAGAACTTCATTAGAATGTGAGACGCAGATGAAATCTAACGTGCATTCAGCATGCATATTAGACTAGTAGTCAAAACAATTCTTCACTGATGAACTGTAAATAAGAGGACATGAAATTACACAGCTTTATCAACCAAAGATGAAAAATTGCCTTTGGCGCAAACTGATATAACGAGTATTTAACTATCAGTTATAATTTTAAAGAAGTATCTTTAAATCATTTTGGCTTCCAGTGGCACTATGAGGACATCATTTCTTATTGAGTTTAGGAGGCTTGTTTTCATTCAGAACAAATTGCTTTCTTTCGTCATTCTCTTTTCCGAAAAACAATTTCAGCGACTCTGCATTGATAAGTCGTTGACCTTGGAATCTATTTGCAATATAAATCCCATTTCTCTCAGCCCACTTTTTCAAAAGATGTTTTTCCGTGTGTGTTCCAGACCGCTCTCCGGACATGGATAACTACTCTGAGGAGGACGACGACAGCTACTCGTCAGAGCAGGAAGCCAGCGATGACGCAGCACCGGGCCAGGTCAGTGCTAGAAAACAAAAGAATTACATATAAGAGATCTGATGAGCACAAAGAGCCTACTCGCCCATTTGGGTGCCGTACACTAGTGATAAAAGATAAACCTTCTTTTTTCCTAGAGGCATAAAGCAAGTTCTTGCAAAATTGGCTTTTCGTCACTTATTATATATATATGTGCAGGTGGAAATGTAGGCGCACTGTTCTGTTGATATTTCATCCATCCTCTCTCTTTCAGGACCTTTACGATGAAGACGACGAGGTGAGGAAGCCCAAGAAAGCCCGGAGGAAAATGATCCGAACCACCTCCATGACCAGGGTTAGTTGCCTCCTTTTCCACCACACGGAGTTCAATGCTTGCCAATCATTAACGTGAGAGAGTAACCCAAGACCTGTATTTGCTGTGGTACACGCTTTATAAGGAAAGCACGCGCGGTTTTCCATTTGTCCGAGCCCATTAGGAGGATGCGGATGGGCACGTAAATGAACCCTGTGGGCTCACTGGACTGATCGTAATGGTCTTTACTTAGAGTGGCTGGGAATGGGTAATCCAATGGATGTTTACTGGGAGGACCGGTCAGCCCAGCGCCATGTGCATTTATGGATGACAGTTTTGTTTTTGTTTTGTTTTCTATTTCAGCAACCTAATTTCAAGCAGAAGTTTGTGGCCTTGCTGAAGAGGTTCAAAGTAACTGACGAGGTGAGTGACAGAATGATAATTGACACACGAGGTGTCGTCACAATGTTCAATGTCGATGCGGATGACCTGAGGCACAGCCCCCCCCCCCCCGGAATCTGTCCTTCTCCTATGAAGCTTTTAGTAAATCGGCTGTAAAAGTGATCAGTCATTAAATTGGCCTAGGGGTCAGGAGAAAACGACCTCAGTATTGACTGCCTAAACAGCATACTGCTACGGCTAATGCGTCCCCAGCTGGGGAGGAGTCCTCGCCACAACAGAGGTACAAGCATCCTCATGCTCGGCCGCATTACCTCTGTGCTCATGGATGTATGATTCATGCGTTTCCATTAGCAGCATCCATTAACGACTCTTATTCTCCACCACTTAATCTAGTGATAAATGTCGGCTTGTATGCCTGCCCTGTTTAGGTTTGTGTTTTTCATCCCTCAAGTACTTTTCAAATAAATGTTTCTGCGTATCTTGCATAATAGCTTGGTCATCTGCAGTATTTCAAACCAAATGTGTTTAACAACCCCTAGATGTCCATTAGTACATAATCTGTGTTTAGGTCATTAGGATGATGATAGTTTCCATTGAACTGTGAAATGTATTCCAGTAATTCCCTTGTTTCTCCTCTTTATGACCCCCAAAACATAGATTGCTTTAGAAAAAGATTAAATTTATATGTGCTTTAATAAAAGTGGGATTAGGAAGCGTGAGTGATTTAACCTTGCGATGCTTAAAAGAGCCTCCAGGCCGGTTCCCTTTTCGCTGGATGCTTTTAGAAGCTCCAGGTGGCCCGTTGATCTTTCATCACGTTTCTAGTCTCTAATCCTTTCCTTATGGCTGGCCACTACGCAGTGCCATAGCTCTATAAATACATAGCTAGGAGGAGGAGAGGCGACAGACTGTGTTTATCTGCTCCCTGCCAGCTTTTGCACTTATGGAGTGGCATTAATCACCTGATTAGTCCGCAGGCCTGCCCGTGTGCAGCTCCTATGATATACATCCCCACTGTGTAGCTGGCAGATCAAAGCTCAGACCCTTAGCACTTCCCCAGCAATCACTTACATTTTAATTGGCCTGCTTAGGACCAAGGCAGGGATGTATTTATAGCAACGATTTTTTTTTCTTTCTATTTTGCGGCCTTCCGTGTCTTCACTCTTTAAGCTCCATTAGGCCGGTGATCAGCTAATGGACACCAGTAACTCCGGCCATCCACAGCCGTGAGAACCAATCCCTGATTTTTCTTTTTGGTTTGTTTACTGATGTGTTGATGGAGTGTCTGTCCCGACTGCGGCAGGTCCTGGACTCTGACCCAGTTGACCAGACCCAGGAAGTGGAGGAGGATCTGGACTTGCTCTACGACAGCCTGGAGGTGTACAACCAGAGTGACAGTGGGCCAGAGATGGAGGACAACGAGAGCGTCCTGAGCACGCCCAAACCCAAACTCAAGTATGTCTGAGCCGAAGGAGCCTTAGTATTTATCGATGTTAACTTACTTCAGGCAACATGCTGTATGTGGTTTTTGTGTTTGAAATGAAATTAAATCATCTGTTTTTTGTTTTCAGGCCGTTTTTTGAAGGGATGTCTCACTCCAGCTCCCAGACAGAGATTGGAAGCATACACAGCCAAAAAAGCCAGCAGAGAGAGCTGTCGTGTCCTGTAAGTTTATTACCCGGCACTTTATTTAAAAAAAAAAAAAACAGTCAGATGCTTTTGAGCGCCATCGTTCACCCGCAACGGTCCGCCTCTCGGTGGCTGAGTTACGTAAAGGAACTTCCCCTGGAGAGTGTTCAAATGTCTGGCAGGCCTCGATGCTTACGCTGCTTTAGGGATCCCCGAGGACCATGATACTACCGGCAAGGTATTCTGAGAATGAATGCAATGCAGCCCCCGCTGCACCCTTTACAGCCCATCCTAGTATTTATAAGGACTGGCAGCGAACAACCTCTCCATCACCACACACACATATAAATATGCTCAGCGAGCAGGTTGGATGGAGCGATCCCCGAACTTCCCCTCAGAGGTTTATGGCTCATTGGAAGCAGCAAGGACACAGATGTTGAGTGTGATGGTTAGAGAAGGACTGCTGTTAATAAATATCAGGGGATGCGTTTTAGCCTGTAATAAAATTTTGGACTGCTCTAGCCCTCTATTTTTCTCAATAAATGAAACCTCGTTGGAGCCAAATTGGAAAGTCTTTGAAGTACTGTTGATATAAATTAAGCTAAATGCACTTCAACACATTTGTCAGGTGGACATGAGCACACAAGTGTGCCGGTTGTTCTTTAGGGGCTTGTACATAAATATATTAGTATCAGTCGGGGTGAAACCTATACATGCCTTTAGAGATATTTATACTCTCCAATACTGCCGCCGTCACCAAGCTTAACTGTGGGGAGCTGCCACTGTGAAATTGGCCATTGGTCAATCTTGGCCTGAGCAGATGGAGCATAGCGCTTCAGTAAGGAGCTGTGACAACTTGTTTTTTATATTTACCGGGGAAGTGACCTCCGTGGTTTAAATGTTCGTGTGTGTGTGCACCCTACAGAGTGGAGAATTTCTGACCGTGGACAGATGTAAAGGGGCCCGCTATCAGCAAGACAGCGCCACAGATACGATTGTTGGGGTACGTGTTCTGAACAACAATAGTTTTTTTTTTCTTCTTTTTTTTTACTAAATCTGCCTTGAAGCCTCTTTTTTTTCTCCTACCCTTTCCACTTGGGCGCCCTTCCCTCCCGTGAGTCTTAGTTGTTTTCCAGGGAAAAACGAAGAGGGAGGGAGGGTGCATGCAAGGGCAGGCGAACCAAGCAGCTCAGTCATCCATTATGGATCAGTGGAGCAGACAAGGCGGCCCCATGCTGGATGAATCCCGACTCATAAGGATCAAAAGCGGGATGTTGGTGTTTGTTGTTGTCTTTGTGCCGTCGGGTCAGCCTAACCTTGCTACCCCTCAGAACCCCCTCTTCTCGCACCGCTCCACTCCAAACGAATAACTCATTACTGCAGGAACCTTGTTTCCTCTGCTACCCGTTAGGACTCCGACTATTTATTACTTTTTTTCCCGACTATTTTTTATTTTTTTTAAATAATAATCTCCTCTGTCGTGGTGGGCCCGCATCATTATCTCTGACCTCAGCGGCACAAGTCAATTATTTACCAGGCCCTCGGCTCATCTTTGCTCTCTCTTTGCTTTAGGAGCCGGAGACGGAGGAAAGGGGGCCAGGACCGGGGGAGGTGAGCAGCTGTGACGTCAGCACTGAACGGGTGACCAGCACTGTTGGCAAGCTCTGCAAGACAGAGTCCCAAAACCACATGTCTCCAAGGTACGCTTCCAATGCACCCCGTCTAGATGAAGACACAAGATAATGTTGTGTCTTCATCTAGGTACACAAGCTACTTTCTATCTTTTAATTATGTCATTTGGAATGTGGGTTCCCACAACAGGTTCTTCAAATTGCTTAACCTCCGAGCCCAGTTTGTTGGGTTCCCTGCCCCGTCCACCAAGTACTTTGAGTTGAGCTGCTTTTGTTTTTCCGTTGTGTCCTCAGTAAGGCGGAGAACCGGCTACAGAGGCGTCCGCGCAGCACCTCCATGAAAGACCGGCAGAACTCCAAGGCCCAGAGCGACAGGACCAGCAGCATGGAGAGCGAGTGCTCCCCGGAGTCACGGCTCATCGCACAGGTAGACGCGTCGCGGAAGTGCTCCTCGCACCCGGGTTTGGTCCCGCGGGGGAAGTTCTCACGCTCTCGATTTCTCTCCAAGGTTCCCAGGAAGTCTGTGTACGACCAGCTGAACCAGATCCTCATCTCTGACGAGCGCCTGCCCGAAAGCATCATCCTCATCAACACTGTGGAGTGGCAAGGACAGGTGTGTGTGTGTGTGTGTGTGTGTGTGTGTGTGTGTGTGTGTGTGTGTGTGTGTGTGTGTGTTCTTCTTCTCATCATGTATTTAGTGGACAAGCTCGGGTCTCACAGGTTTTGTTGAGACTGAAACACGAAAGGCTGCGGTTGTGACAGTGTTTTTGTATGTTTTTTTAAACACGCTTCTGGCTCACCTCCTGTGTCTCTCTTGTGTGTGTCTCTCATGTGTGTGTTTCCGTGCAGTACGTGTCCGAGTTGCTCCACGAACAGGGCCAGCCCATCGTGTCCACTTGCTCCGCTGCCGACGTTCAGGCCGCCTTCAACACCATCGTCACTCGCATCCAGAGATTGTGAGTCGCACACGAACATGCATACACACAAACGCACACAGCCGAGCATGCATCGGTCGAACGACACGGGCCCACACACACACTGGTATCTGGCCGCCTGTTATGGCGGCGCAGTCCAGACCAAAGTGTGTGTTTGCGCTGGCGCGCTGCCAGAGGATTCCAGGGCGCTTTCGCTGTCAGAATGAGCTGGTTTTTTGGTCCTCCTTCTCTCTTCCTGGGATTCGGCCGCTGAGTCGCCCCGCCGGAGGCAGACTGAGGCCGCGTCCGTCTACTGCACTGCTTCCGTTAATCCGTTTTTAAATTCAGCTCAAGCGCAACTTTTGCATTCTTTACACACCTGCCGCCTCAGGCGACCCGATTGCTCCAGGTGGGGCCGAGTCATGCGGAGCCATGTGCGTCTCAGATGTTAACATCAAAAAAAAAAAACTGTGCTGCCGCTGCTTTAGCTGTTTAAAATGTGGTAAATGAGTATGTGGACTTGTGTGATGAAATTGGTCGGATCTAAAAGCTTTTGCGATATAAGAATGTAGCTTCAAAGAGACTTGTACCTGGTATTACAAATGATAATATTACACCAACTGGCGAGGCCGGATCTAGACCAGGAAACTTGAGAGCTATAAATCGTCAGACAGCCATTAAGCCTCTCTGAACCCTCTCTGACCCACATCGTTCACGATTTGGAACTCTCTCTTCCTCTCGATTACTCATTCTCCCTCTCAACCCACGCAGCTGTAACTGCAATGCGCAGACACCGCCGACGATGAAGGTGGCGGTGGCAGGCGACCAGAGTTACCTCAGCACCATCCTGAGGTTCTTCGTGGAGCAGCTGGCCAACAAGACGCCCGACTGGCTCAGTTACATCCGCTTCCTGGTGATCCCCATCGGTACGTCACCCGCGATCCGTACCTGTAGGACTCGCTTTTTGAGCTTTGTTTTAAACTTGTATTCTTCTCCTCGAACTCCAGGTTCTCATCCTCTGGCAAAGTACGTGGCCTCCTTTGACAGCCGCTTCAACAGCATCTTCATGGACACCGCGTGGAGGGAGCTGTTCTGCAGGACGGAACGGCCCTCCTCAGGTAGGATGCATCGCTGCGAGGTCCGGCTGCAGAGCGAGTCGGCCTGCTTAATCTTTGGCACACTTGAAAGGGAAAGAAATTGGGTCAAAGCATGGGATCGGAGGCTGATGGGTGGGAAGAAGACTATTTCCCCCAGTTTGTAGGTCTCGGAATTGTTTGCTAGTACACACACATATATTTAAACTTGTCCCTTTTCCTCAAATGTCCCTTTTTTCTGCCCAGACAAGCCCAGAAAATCCTACTACATGCCGTATTAATTCTCTGAAGAGTGGGGAATATGTATATATAATATAAAAATATGTGTTCCATCTTTTTCCCTCTTTCTTTTAACCTTGACGTGAACGGCCTTCACAACTCTCACGGCGGCGTTTGGATAGGAATGGCTTTGAATTGTTTCTTTAACAAGCAGAGTCAGGTTAAACTGCAGGGAGGCAATGGTTCAGAATAAGTTGACATAAAGAAACACAGCCTCTTGTTTTTGTTTCCCTCCTCCCGGCTTCAGAGGAATGAAAGTGATTAATGCGCCGTCTTTCAGCGACCTGCTGAGTCTGAACATTAGCGTCAGCATCAATTGTCTTGCTGGCTTGTTAGCCAGACGTGCAACCGAAGGAACGTGTTGTTAACAATCTGTCTTGCCCCCCCTCCCCCTCCCCCCCCTCCCCCTCCCCCCCTCCTCCCGCAGACAACATCGATGTGGCAGGACGAATTGTTCAATATCTGGTGGGTGCCAACGTGTCCCACCAGTTCCCCATCTCTGAAGCAATGCTGACCTACAAACAGAAGAGGTGAAGTACCTTTGATTATTCATGAGAACACTCAGCGCTGCAAATGTTTGTGTATGTGTGCGCATGTATGCTTTTGTGCTCTTTTTGAGGCATGATTTTTTTAAACTTTTGAGTAACTGCTATTAATGTTTAATGTCCCCGAGCAGCCGTTCGACTGCACGAGAAAGATGTTTAAAGCGGGCACGTTCATGAATTAAACACACACACGTCGCTGTGATTAGCGGGTGATAACGATCCCCAGGGGCCTCATTTCTAAACGTTGCGTACGCACAAAGGAAGGCGTGCGCCGCTCTCTACGCAATAATTGGTATTTATAAAAAGTAAACTTGACGGAAAAATGTGCGGTCCTTCACGCAAGCTCGGACCCATGCGTACACACAAAAACGGGTGAAATGAGAACCGTCGGCAGACGCAAGAAACACGGCAACGTGTGTGAAACTGTGTAAAACTAGACTTTTTTGTAAATGAAATGCCAATACTGCCTCTCATAAATAACACGAACACCCGTGTGATCGATCTGCAGCGTAAAACAAACAGAAATACACATTTTTCAAAACACATTTTCAAAAAGTGAATTATGTTCTGCAATAAAATTGGCATGTTATCTAATTCATCCTCAAACACAGCTGTTGCTTGTCAGATGCAATCAAATGGACGGTAATAAGATGCCATGATGCCGTCACAATGCGTAATGACGCGAAATGGCTGATCTTGCGCTCTTAGAAGATGTGGCACATGGAAGGATTGCCGCTGTAGTGCAGCGCACCATCGGCCTGTTTAAGGGCAGACGGCGCTGCCTCGGCTGCACTGGAGGGAGGTTGTTGTTTACTCCTGTAAAGGTGTGCAAAATCCTGCTGGCGTGTGCTGTGCTGCATAATGTGGCACAGCTTCCAAACGTGCCTCGACCCCCTGACGCCGATGTTGGCCCAGACCCTGTCCCCGATCCCCAATCATTGCCGCCAGTCTCTCATCAAGAGGGGACAGCTCCGGTGTCCCCTCTCCCCACCCGGGGCAGACACATCTTGGCGATGGCGCGATAAACGCTTTTTAGCCTCCTCTTTGATGTCAGACCATTTTTTCTTTATTTCGGCCACGGTTCGAGGTTGTGAGGTTGCAGCGTTGCTCTGCAACCTTTTGCCCCTCGAGTGCCTTTTTGGCATTAGTGATGCCCACACTGATACGGTGCCCTCCAAAAAGCATTTTACTTCTCTCCACCTCACCAATGATCATTTCAACCTCACACTGAGTGAAGTTACGTTTCTTCGTTTTCCTCTCAGTGTTTGTCATGATTTCGCAATCGATGAATATTATAAATCTGAATATTTCTGTGCGTACGCACGTCCTACGTTTCATCCGTACGCCAGGTTTTATAAATGAGGCCCCAGATCACCTTTTACTCTGACAGACATGAAGGAGGTTTGTTTGTAGGAAAGGCTTCTATTGGTCAGAAGCTACTAAACACAACACACAGTTTTAACACTGTTGCATTCCTTCTTCCCCCTTTCCCTTTTGATTTGCATTCAAGGAAAAGAAGTTTGTATTTTGATTTTTACATCAGGTATCTAATTCAACTCGTTTTCTGCTTTGAACCTCCCTTTTTTCTCTCCTCCATTTGGCTTGAGCTCCTTTGTCTTAACATTTCCCTTTTCACTGTAACTTCACTTTGCACTCTGTCCTGACTTGTGTCTTTGGTTTGGTGTGTCTTTTGATTCTTATTTTTGACTCTGTCCTCTGTGTTGTTGCTATGAAGATTTGCCTAACAACCTTTTAAAAAAGCTATTTGGAAACCAGTATTTTGACATATTTTCTATTGGCTTGAAAATGAGCTTCTATTGGCTTAGCCTTAGGAGAGGCTACATAGTTACACACTTTCACTCAATATCAGTGAACGCTCTGACTACTACAAGGTAAATCAAGTATTTTAATATCAGTTAAAAGAAATGACCTATTACCAATATCCATGTAATATTTCCCTCCTAATTCTAACCTGCACGAATACGACTCCTTAAAACATTTATTTCTGCATGTATAAAACATAGTTATACCTTCATTTACAAAGGACTGGCAGTTAAGTTTAGTGTAAATTATACGTCCGTGCACCTGTTATTTTGTGGATGATGTTACAGCTTGTGATGCTCACTGGGACATTGCAAAAACCCTTACCTTGCAAAATGCAACATCACGTAGATATAATAATGGAGCACTGGTGGTGAGATTGCTGGGGAGTTTATTCCTGCGTGTGCACTGAAACGTGAGCCAGCAGCGTTCCCCGTCCTCCTCTCTTTTTGCTGTGGATGCAGTCCCATTTTGCAGTCTCATGAAAGACTTTGGCGAATTATCGGCGAGTTGCACTATTGTTGGCACCTTTTTGTAGAGCTTTGCAGAAAAATAACACTATCTCAACGCTTTCCTGTTGAACCGTTGGGTGTATTTTTGAATTGCTGTGGTCTGCGTGTGTATTGCACTTTCTCCGACGATGCCTGGCTGTACTGCACACCCCCCCCCCCCCCCCCCCCCAACGGTGACTGAACACTAGTTACTCCGACGGGTCCCAAACTGTCCCATGTTTAAACATGACTCCTAGTGCTGGCTGTAGAGAGAGATCGTTTCTTTCTCTTGGTTGTAAGGAGCGTTCCTCCCCTTCATCTCATTGTAACATGAACCCAGGATGCCCCCATTTCACCCGAGCCAGTCATGTGCCATTCCTGCTGCGATGGGACATGCTGCGGGGTCATGCCACAGCCGTCTTCCCTCCAGGACCATTGAGTGTTTGTGTTTGAAACCCCCTCACCCGAACCCTGCCCTCACCCCCCGCTGGTCCAAATCATAACATCTTTACTGTCTCCGTTTACAGCCCTGATGAAGACTCCTGTCAGAAATTTGTGCCATTTATTGGGGTAAGATTTTTGATTTTTTTTCCCTACCTCAAACGGGCAGGACAGAATTCTTTATTCTTTTCATGGTTTTAAGATAGTTGTAAACTTTTGTTTGAATTCTTCCAGGTTGTGAAAGTTGGGATTGTGGAGCAAAGCCTCTCAACGTCAGGTAAGGAAAGACTTCTTCTTTTTAAAGGTGGGATTAGTATTATTTGGTCAGCCTAGCGTGTTCAACGTTGCACCGTTGATGAGGAGACAGAAACCTAACGAAACAACAAGTCTCTCCTTTCTCATTGATTCAGATCAGGAACGAAAAATACCCCAATATTCCTTCATTTGACTTCCTTCCTCTACTGGGTTTTGGCTTGAGCTTCACTTTGAAGCTTTGTTAACGACACTATCCCCCACTCCTGATTTGCAGTGGACTCCGATGATGCGATGGGGGTCAACACAAGCATCCTTTCCTCCCCGACGCCACCGCTGGCTGGTCCGTATGGGAAGGAAATAGGGGGCACCCCCCCGCAGTCACCGTCTGTGTCCACCGCCCTGTCTGGAACTGGGTACGCCAAAAAAAACAACTGAAAAACACACAATTCTTTAAAATATTGTGTTTCAAAGGGGAAGGAGAAAAACTAGTTCCTGACTTTAGCTGGTTTCCTCTGCAGCTCCCCGTGTTCCGGCAGTGAAGTGATGGGGCTTCAGGTGGAGTACTGGACGTGGCAAGGCCCGGAGAAGAAGAAAGAGGGCGAGAAGAGAGACGTGGGACTGAAGAACACCCTGAAGAGCAACTTCCGCTCACTGCAAGTCAGCCGCCTGCCCTGTGGAGGGGAACTCACCCCCCCACCCAGCATGGCCATGACTGTGGTCACCAAGGAGAAGAACAAGAAAGGTATGAAAACATGCCTGTAAATATCCGAAGGAGAAGACCAGAAATGTGGCGTTACACTTCTACTACGTTGTCACCGACGCATCATTGAGTATCGAGTATGTGGGTTTTTGTGTAGGTGGGAAATACTTGTATGACTACATTTGCAAGAAGAATAAGTCTGCTCATTGCACAGTCCCATAATGCATTGCATCAGTCCTGTGAGGTTTTGAGCCAGGCCGAAAGATGTCAGCATCTGTCATTTTTATTATGTTTTAGTAATGCATAATGTTTTTACTCCCTTAGAACAGAACGACTGTCAACATGTTAAACCGGTGTACAAAAATATGCACAGAAAACTATTTATTTACGCCGCCCTGTTTTTCTCTCCAGTGATCTTCCTCAGCAAGAAGCCCAAGGAGAAAGAGCTGGACTCTAAGAGCCAAGTCATTGATGGCATCAGCAGGTTGATCTGCACAGCCAAGCACCAGCACACGATGCTGAGAGGTAACGCCCCCCCCCCCACCTCCGCCGTCCCACCAGCTGAGGCACTGCTGCCATCTGGTGGGGCAAAGGGAAACGCATCCTTTGTGTGTGTGTGTGTTTAAATGTTTAACGCCTTCTTTCTCGGCTCTCTTTGCCTCCCTCAGTCACAATCGATGGAGTCGAGTGGAACGATGTGAAGTTTTTCCAGCTCGCCGCCCAGTGGCCGACACACGTCAAGCACTTCCCGGTGGGGATCTTTGGTTACACTAAGCCCGCGTGACCGCGCCCGCCCGCCCACCACCTGTCCCCCGCTGAACTCTCGTCTCACCGAGAGGCTACAGAGAAGTAGAAGAAAAGCCCCCCCCCCTCACTGGCAGTACTAGTTTTCCTGTGGAAATCTTACTGGCTCACAACCACCTGTTCAATACACAAATGTCATGTTCTCATTTGGATGTTTTCGATGTCGACGTTGTTGGGTGTTGTTGTTGTTGTTGTTTTTTACACACTACGAAAAACACGTACTATTTTGTAAGATTTGTGCGACTGCCTCGGAGGTATCTTGGGGTATTTTGACAATTTGCCACATTTCGATAACGGCAGCTGTGTTTGCACTTTGTTTTTGTTAACATTTTATTATTTCTGTGAAATCCTACATTTATTGTTACTCTATGGACAGTGGAGGAGTGTGATGGTGATGTGCAGTGGCGTGTGTGAGATGGTTTGAGACCGTGTTTGTGTTTATTGTTGAAAGTTGGAATATTGCTGTGAATCTAGATGGAATCCTCCTCAAACTCAGTGCTCAGTTTTCTTACTCCTCCCTTTTTACTTTCTCAAAAAGGTAAATTTTTATAGAAAGGAACAAAGCTCTGTTTGCCTCGTCGCTTTTTAGGACCCGTGTGCAAAAAAACCCCCTAAAAACTAAAGTAAGGTGTTACTGAAGGTAGCTATAAAAAAAGCATTTGTGACATGTGAGAAGTTCAAATCATTTCGTTATTGTAAGTGCTTCAGACTTCGGTGTACATTCGGCCTGCACAGCAACATCTACTTAGTAGCAGGGCAACGCGACACCACAAATCCTACTTCAACTATCAACAGCTGAATACCAAATTTAGTTCTGACTATTGTTTCACCACCCCGCCCCCCTCCCTCCCCGATGCTGGATACCTCCAGATGTTCCGGTTACGTGCCAAAGTAAAGTTCCCATTACAGTCCAACCACCAGAGCCCTCGGCTCGGCCAAACTTTGTAGTACAGGAAACAAAAATTGTACATTTAATGTGCCCTTGGTCCCTGTGGAGATCAGTATTTAGATTACTGAGAGATTAATCCTGACAAATGTACCAGTTTGTGCTCTACATTTGGCCAAACGTAATCCCGTTGTGTGCTTTTCTTGCCCGTGGCGGGCGCACTCGGGCGTCCCCTGACCTCAAACACACCGATGGGTCCGGCGGTGGCGTGTCGGCCTGCTGCGGGAAAACGAGACGGACGTGAAGTAGTGAGGAGCGCAATGCAAGAATTAAAAAAACTTTAAAGTAACATGATAGTCAAAGGAGTCGCGACGGATCCAAGTCCCTGTGTGTGTGTGTGTGTGTGCGTGCGTGCGTCCGTGCAGGTGTGTGCAGGTGTGCTGTGTGTTCAATGGTACGCCCTGAATAGTGTTACGTACAACTTTTGCAATAGGAAACCTTTGAACAAAGGGACTTTAAGGTAGTTGCGTTCGTTTTTTTTAAAGTGACCACTCACAAGCTTTGATTGGCTGTCTTTTATAGTAATGTATATAAATATATACATCATTTTGTGAATTCCAATCCCTCCCCTTCCACTAAATTTAAAGCACAAATAGCTTCCCTTAATTTCTTGACATGTCAAAAATGCCAAATATATATATATATATATAAATATATATATATATTTCCAGAACTCATAGCTATGAAGTTGACTTGTATAAAGTAAACACTTATTAGGTTTGCCATTTCCCTGACTTTGTAATGCACTTTCATGTGGTTTTCTACATATATTCGCTCAAATTTGGGACACTTTTTTTTGAGGTGATGTGATATATTTGAAAAGTAAACCACTACCTAGTCAAGAGAAGGCAGTTTTATTTTCTAGATGATCCTTTTCATTGGGATGTTTGTTGTTGAGCGCCGTTTGTTACTTTGTTTTTGCCACTTGATGTTGAAAAGCTTTTTTTGCAGCTACCACCACACGTGTCTGCCTGTAACTGTACTGTCAAGTGTTCTTGTCTCCTGCTTTTTCAAAGGGTTCGCCTTCTCCTTTTACACGGGAAACCAACTTCTTGGTCTGTGAAGATTCAGTCAGGACCGAGTTGTTTGAGGGAACGTGTCGCGAGTTAGCCTTTTGAAAACTGAACGGGCATAACAAGCTTATTTCAATGTATTTGTTTTGCCCTAAATCTAGACGTAGCATGGGGGTGTTTCACAGGACGGGATCAATGAGCAGGCGTCGTCACTCAGCGACCAATGAACTCTTAGACATCAATGGTCAAACTCCAACATGCCGTCTCATTGCTCCCGTTACTTGAAATGCCTCCCATTGTCTTTGCACAAACCCTATTTTAAATGACATGACAGTATTTTTAAATTTACCACTACAAATATGGATTACTCTGCATGTTTTACTATAGCTGTAAATATGTTTTGGATTTTTATATTGTTTTGTTTCTTTCCATGCTCTCACAAGCAGTTGTGTTTAATAAAATTTATAATCTTCTGTACAAACAGCTCATGTTTATTCATATTTTCTAGACCAACATAACATTGTAAGCGATAACAAACGAGGGTCGACACTCTTCGATCCTGTGTCACTTGGCTGAGATCGAGGGCAGGTTGACGTAAACCTTCATAGGAGGCAGCGGTTTGATCTTGCGTCCAGCCCAGCCGCCCTTCCTCTGCCACAGGCCGCTCGAGGGGCGAATGCCGAGCCAGCGGTTGCGCCCGGCTTTGCCGATGATGCGTTTGTTGTGGTCGATGTTGGACACGCGTCCCACCGTTACGATGCAGGTCTCCAATACCTGTGTGTGTGTGTGTGTGTGTGTGTGTGTCGAGATGACAACATTCAGTAGGGAGCCTGGTTTAAACACCGGTGGAATCTTAATTCAGGTAAACTCACCTGAACCTGCTGCTTCGAAGGAAGCTGAATGATTGCTGTTCCGTTTACCTTACGGAGCAAAATGCCACTTGTGCCTGAAAACCAAAAGCAACAAACATTAGTTTTTTTACAGCATCAGATGCAACTAACTGAAACGTCTGCTTGTCGAGCTTGGAGAACTACACCCCGAAAACAGAGCCAGTGTTTGGTTTGTCCCCTCAGGGCTACGGTAGAAACATGGCTGCCGCTACATCGGTTAATATAAAACGTCTTTCTTTAGGCCTCAAATAAACACCCTTGTTATATTGAGGTGATTATACACTAAGGAAAAAATGCTTTTACCATTAGATTAATTAAATTCCATTAGTGGTTAAGGATCCCACTCGTGGCTCCTTTATCGTAAGAAGACTGTATTGATGATTGGAACCTTTTCTGGTTTGTAATTGTTAAGACAAGTCTGTCAAATAAAATCATCATAACCAAAAATATATATTCAGTATATGTAGTATAGTATAATATGTATTCAGCAACTAATGAGCAAATAATAGACTACCTGCAGCACGAATGTACTCCGATCCTTTCCCTGGTTGTACCTCGAGGTTGTTCACCAGAGTCCCCACAGGAAGCGCTCCCAGTGGATACGCATCACCCTCATTGGCCGAGACTGCAGAGTAAAACAAACGGATACACCGTATTTAAGTGCTGAACACAGCGTACCTTTACTTCCATCATCTCAAGGGATTGTTGGAAACATGACACACCAGGGTGGATCCTCTACCTGCCATGCGTCCAATTACTCCAGATGTTTTAATGATGTCTCCTGCCTGCATGTTCTCCGTAGCAATTATCCATCTTTTCCGGCTGCCTCCAGCTAACAGGGCAATGTCAGCAGACCTGTGTAGCACAGATGATGATAACCGACTGTGTTCAGAATGCATAATCAGAGTGCCACTGTGTAGTGAAAGCTGACCTTTACCTGCACGGGTCGTATCGCACTTCCACAACCTTCTCTTCAAAGGGTTTGGCCTCATTGTTTGGTTCATAGCGCAGTCTCTGAAAGTCAATCCACCTGTATTTTTGTTTGTGGCCTCCACCGATGCCATGTGTCCGTATCCTTCCTGCGCGGCAGAAAGAAAGGTGAGCAAGTCTTTACACTCGCCTCTAGTCGCAGTAACAGAGTGCGGTCAGCCCGAGGCCAAACTTATTAGCTGATCATCATACTTGCTGGTGCTCGAATACATATTTCAAACCAGGCATGCAGATGGTTCAAAGCACAACTATCTGCCCTCTTTAAAAACGTCCAAATGTCTTGTCCAACACAGAACGGCTCTTTGTTTAGCTCCATTCAAACGCTGTTTAAGACTTGTGAAAATGTCATTCTATTGCATGATTGTAGTGTTTCCTCAGTAAGGACTTATGTACATAACCTTGTAGAAGTTCACATCAAAGGCTGTTCTACTTTATCTAATCCAACCTGGACGATAGTAACATTGGCAGCTAGATTTTGGTTAAGCCATGCTGAAGGCTAAAAGAAGGTTTTGGTTTGAGACGTGTGTATTCGTTTAACCTACTGGTGAAAACAGAACATGGATAAAATCCAGACCAGCACATTTGATGCCGACTCCAACCGCGTCCTCCTCTGGCCTAGCTTTCAAACACACTCGTTTATTAGATTCTTCTACAGTGGTCTTTACCCGTGTGGTCTCTTCCTCCCGTCTTTTTCATTCCCATAGGTTTGATGGTGTACTTCTCCCTCTGCTTCCAAAATGTCCTGTTCTGCTCCAGAGAGGCTGTGGTGAGGAAGCCCCTGCACTGAACGACCATCTTGGGCCCCTGAGTTGCCAGCCCGGTCTGTGTAATTGCCTGAAAACACAATAAGCATGTTGCACGTATGTATGTGTGTGTTGGTTGTGACGATGCAGATCTCCAGTGTGAATGACAGTGGTCGTTTACCTGCGAGGAGAGCAGAGCAGGCTGGGACAGAGTCATGGAGCGCAGGGCTCTGGTTAGACACGACACCGCCATCATAGCAACGTCCTCCTGACAGAGCTGAGGAGCAGAGGACAGGAGAGGAGAAGAGAAGAGAAGAGAGCGCGTTGGACGCCCGGTTGTGGATCATGTTCATCGATCTTTTCCATTTCCAGGCATGCAGCGAAAGCTCTAGCATATCCGACAATATTCAGCATCTAACTAAACTAAGCATAAAGGAATCAAACTATAGGAGTGAACACGTCCACCATAACATGTCCTACTACGTCAATTGTGTCCAACAATGTGATAACACACATTTAGCATTAACCTTACTAAATGGCTAATAGTCATGAGCTATCGCTAGCTTAACTTTAGGTTGTCCCGGCTCAATAGATACACATACGTTTCACCTGCTGTTTTTTACAAACCAAGCCGAGCTGTTCGTTTATCTCATGGCCATTTGGCCAATGTAAATCAATGGAATAGTGACATAAACCAACCTTTTGATTTGATTTATTTCATCACAGGCTTCTCGTTGACAACCTTCAGGATCTCGCACGCTACGTCGCGTATTGATGACGTCATCACCAACCGGTTCCTGGTCTCACTGTACATGTTAAAGTTAAATATTTATAATGTGACGTATTAAAATTGTCCCTTGTTAACAGCTATCATGGATAGGTGTTTTTGGCGGATTCGAAACCGTCACAATACATACAGTAGAGTAATATAATAAAATAAATCTCCCACTTTCTTCACCATCTGACAGCTGTTTTTAAATTTCGCCTCTGGGTGGCAGAATGTCCATTTTTTATATTGAATGCGGTCTACTAACAAAAATGAAAACGTTTTGTTTGTCTCCAACGTATCTAATTTCATGAGCTCTAATTACTAAAACAATTTGTTGTAGGTACATTTTACAGTTAAATTAAAAATAAATAAATATAAATTGACGCAAGCTTTCAAAATTTGTCCATTCAAACCAAATAAAACATATAATATGGGTTGATATTATGTGCTGTTTTTTTACATGAAAAGTACGGCAAGATGCCAGTTTGTGAACATGCTACTAGAATTAACTGCGAGCCCAAGAATTGGCTGCGTGTGTTATTGTTTACTTTGGGGGTTTTTTCCATCATGTGTCCTTTGTACATAAGTAAAATTAGTAACATGATCTTACTTTTAAAACAAACAAAAGAGAAACACGTTTACCTGGTTGAAGTAGAAAAACAAATATATTATTATTTTCCCTAAGGGGCAAATAATCATCATCAGGGCAAGGAATCATCTTAGAGTGGTGGAATTACTGACATCCAGTGCTGTAGTGGTAAAATTAGAGGTGGGTAAAGGAATTTTGTGATCATACAGACCTCGACGCGATGCGAAGCAACGCAACACAAAGCGTCGCGACTCTTGTAAGGCTGTCCTGGCTGTATTGCATTATGTTATCATTAAAAGTCATATACAATCAATGACAATGAATACATGTGTATGAACAACATAAGTTAAAGGAACACTCATGTCCTCCCTATGTCTTCATAAATGCCCCATACAGCATGTTTTTTTTCCCGTGGAGAACTGACTTGTTTTTTATTCTCCGCGCCACCGGCGTTTTTTCTTGTCTTTTTCCCGTGCACGCCCGGGGAACACAGAGCGCGGGATTACTCCCCCCCCCCCCCCCCCCCGTCGGACCTTCTCGACCGGTCCGCGAAATATTGTCTGACATGAAACCGGTTCGTGAGGTGAGAAAGGTTGGGGACCACTGGGTTGATCCACAACGTGTGTTTACACACCTCCTGGATCCTGATTGGTGTCGCTGCTGCAGCCGCAAGGCACTGATTGGATGCTCACAGACCGTAATACAGCGCAGTTGAAAATTATTCAGACTACGGCGTTTATATGTTCAACAATAGGAAACTTAGTCTTAGCTGTTTTAAAATTATACCAAGTTTATTTCGGATTATTCCAAAGGAAGAATACAAGGCGCAGGGAACTTTGAGGTGCGTAAACGCTATTTATAGGTGCGAAAACGCTATTTCCAAAATTATAGAGGTGCGTAAACGGCGTTTACGTGCGTTTACCCTCCACTACAGCCCTGTTCATATTATATAGTTTATCACTATATAATCATTTTTACTTGTATGGTGACTAACCATTTAACTTTATGCCCCCTCAACGGTAAAACATATTAATTAATACATGAATTTAGTATTTAGTAATAAAAAATGACAAATAAAAAAGGACAACTAGATGTGTTAATGATTGTCTTGAACATCAACCCCGAGAACAAACCTTCTGATTCGTTGGCTGATTTTAGTCACTAAAGATGATCAAGTTACCATTAACATTGGAGTGAGTAAATTATCCTATTAGAATATTCAGAATTTGTCATTTTGGGAGCAGTTAACACACAGTTAACACTGATCCGTTTTTTATCATATTTATTTATTCATCTATCTAAACTGTAGGAATGTTGAAGGGCTGCAGCGTGGCGGTTCATTGAGTTTCTGATTGACAGCGTGAGAGAGAAGATGTCGTCTGTCGGCCAGCAGCAGAGAGAACGAACAGACATTCGTAACTCTGGAGTTGCACTTGACTTGACTGCGTCATTAGAGACGCTCACACGTCCCGATGAACTTGGGGTTTGAATTTGCTTTATTTGTAGAGAATTGAACTTGTTTGTGCTTTGAGTTGCCTGACTTCATTTTTTAGAAGCATTCATGTTTTAATTAAAATGTTCCATATCGGAAACATGTTCATTGACTAAATCTTCTCTTCTTCTTCCGCCTGATGTCTGATTACAGGAGGAAGTGAGTCAACAATTGAAATCAGGCTTAAAATGTCGACTGAAACCTTTGTGTGTCATTAATTACACAAACGCTCATTAACTCAAGATCATTGTTGTTTCACTTCATTCAAGTCAACGAGTAATAAAGAACATGTGATTCTCTTTGGTCTGAAGAAAACAAGACGGATTCATTTGGTTTTATTTTTATTAAAATGTATTTTCATTGTTAAAATAATAAACATTTATAAACCATAATAAACAACATATTTAACAATAATAATAAAACAATCATTGGGAAAACATCTGAAGCAGTTCCTGAGAAGAGAGAAAAGAAGAAGTTATTAACATGTTAATGTTGTTAGTGTGTCTGTGTGTACATCTAAATGTTAGTGTGTCTGTGTGTACATCTAAATGTTAGTGTGTCTGTGTGTACATCTAAATATTAATATGTCTTTGTGTACATCTAAATATTAGTGTGTGTCTTTGTTTAGTACCAAATGTTAGTGTGTCTGTGTGTACATCTAAATATTAATGTCTTTGTGTACATCTAAATATTAGTGTGTGTCTTTGTGTACATCTAAATGTTAGTGTGTGTCTTTGTTTAGAACCAAATGTTAGTGTGTCTGTGTGTACATCTAATTGTTAGTGTGTCTGTGTGTACATCTAAATATTAGTGTGTGTCTTTGTGTACATCTAAATGTTAGTGTGTGTCTTTGTTTAGAACCAAATGTTAGTGTGTCTGTGTGTACATCTAATTGTTAGTGTGTCTGTGTGTACATCTAATTGTTAGTGTGTCCCGATGACGTAGTGTCCCGATGACGTGGTGTCCTGATGGCGTCCTGATGGCATCCCGATGACGTGGCGTCCTGATGGCGTCCTGTTGGTCTGCAGACAAGGAGAAGAGACGTGAGGAGGATCATCAGGATGTGTCTGTGTGTACATCTAATTGTTAGTGTGTCTGTGTGTACATCTAATTGTTAGTGTGTCTGTGTGTACATCTAATTGTTAGTGTGTCTGTGTGTACATATAAATGTTAGTGTGTCTGTGTGTACATCTAAATATTAATGTGTCTTTGTGTACATCTAAATATTAGTGTGTGTCTTTGTTTAGAACCAAATGTTAGTGTGTCTGTGTGTACATCTAATTGTTAGTGTGTCTGTGTGTGGATCTAATTGTTAGTGTGTCTGTGTGTACATCTAAATATTAATGTGTCTTTGTGTACATCTAAATGTTAGTGTGTGTCTTTGTTTAGAACCAAATGTTAACGTGTCTGAGTACATCTGTGTGTGTGTGTGTGTGTGTGTGTGTGTGGGTGTGTGTGTGTGTGTCATGAGTAGATTTGGATTTGCTCCTGAGGGGTTGACGCGGCGTCCTGATGGCGTCCTGATGGCGTCCCGATGACGTGGTGTCCTGATGGCGTCCCGATGACGTGGCGTCCTGATGGCGTCCTGTTAGTCTGCAGACAAGGAGAAGAGACGTAAGGAGGATCATCAGGATGTGTCTGTGTGTACATCTAATTGTTAGTGTGTCTGTGTGTAGATCTAATTGTTAGTGTGTCCGTGTGTTCATCTAATTGTTAGTGTGTCTGTGTGTAGATCTAATTGTTAGTGTGTCTGTGTGTACTTCTAATTGTTATTGTGTCTTTGTGTACATCTAAATATCAGTGTGTGTGAGTACATCTGTGTGCGTGTGTGTGTGTGTGTGTGGGTGTATGTGTGTGTGTGTGTGTCATGAGTAGATTTGGATTTGCTCCTGAGGGGTTGACGCGGCGTCCTGATGGCGTCCTGATGGCGTCCCGATGACGTGGTGTCATGATGGCGTCCCGATGACGTGGCGTCCTGATGGTGTCCCGATGACGTAGCGTCCTGATGGTCTGCAGACAAGGAGAAGAGACGTAAGGAGGATCATCAGGATGTGTCTGTGTGTGGATCTAAGTGTTAGTGTGTCTGTGTGTACATCTAATTGTTATTGTCTTTGTGTACATCTAAATATTAGTGTGTGTCTTTGTTTAGAACCAAATGTTAGTGTGTATGTGTGTACATCTAATTGTTAGTGTGTCTGTGTGTACATCTAAATATTAATGTGTCTTTGTGTACATCTAAATGTTAAATGTGTGTCTTTGTTTAGAACCAAATGTTAGTGTGTCTGTGAGTACATCTGTCTGTGTGTGTGTGTGTGTGTGTGTGTGTGTGTGTGTGGGTGTGTGTGTGTGTGTGTCATGAGTAGATCTGGATTTGCTCCTGAGGGGTTGACGCGAGGTCCTGATGGCGTCCTGATGGCGTCCCGATGACATGGCGTCCTGATGGCGTCCCGATGACATGGTGTCCTGATGGCGTCCTGATGGCGTCCTGTTGGTCTGCAGACAAGGAGAAGAGACGTGAGGAGGATCATCAGGATGTGTCTGTGTGTACATCTAATTGTTAGTGTGTCTGTGTGTACATCTAAATATTAATGTGTCTTTGTGTACATCTAAATGTTAAATGTGTGTCTTTGTTTAGAACCAAATGTTAGTGTGTGTCGTTGTTTAGAACCAAATGATAGTTGTCTGTGTGTAGATGTCATTGTTAGTGTGTCTTTGTTTAGAACCAAATGTTAGTGTGTCTGTGTGTACATCTAAATATGAATATGTCTTTTGTGTACATCTAAATGTTAGTGTGTGTCATTGTTTAGAACCAAATGATAGTGTGTCTGTGTGTACATCTAATTGTTATTGTCTTTGTGTACATCTTAATATTAGTGTTTGTCTTTGTTTAGAACCAAATGTTAGTGTGTATGTGTGTACATCTAATTGTTAGTGTGTCTGTGTGTACATCTAAATATTAATGTGTCTTTGTGTACATCTAAATGTTAGTGTGTGTCTTTGTGTACAACTAAATATTAGTGTGTGTCGTTGTTTAGAACCAAATGATAGTGTGTCTGTGTGTAGATGTCATTGTTAGTGTGTCTGTGTGTACATCTAATTGTTATTATGTATTTGTGTACAGCTAAATATTAGTGTGTGTCATTGTTTAGAACCAAATGTTAGTGTGTCTGTGTGTACATCTGTGTGTGTGTGTGGGGGGGGAGTGTCATGCGTAGTTACCCCATTTGCTCCTGAGGGGTTGACGTGACGTCTTGATGGCGTCCCGTTGACGTGGCGTCCGGATGGCGTCCCATTGACGTGGCGTCCGGATGGCGTCCCATTGACGTGGCGTCCGGATGGCGTCTCGTTGGTCTGCAGACAAGGAGAAGAGACGTGAGGAGGATCATCAGGATGTGAGACAAGATTCATAGATCCAATTATTTTAATTTGATGCACATTTTAATTATTTCATGTTTGTTTGGATGTGTAAATCTACATTATATATTTGTGGTTGTTAAACTGTATTTCTGTATTTGCTTTTTATGTTTAGCTAGTCTCTGTGCATACCGATATGTTAGTGCGTCTCTGTGTAAGTACTTTTTACATTACATTACATTTCATTTAGCTGACGCTTTTATCCAAAGCGACTTACAATAAGTGCATTCAACCATAGGGTACAAACTCAGAAGTGCAATTTCCTCAAATAACTTTTATATGTTAGTGCGTCTCTGTGTAAGTACTTTTATATGTTAATGCATCTCTGTGTACATCTACATGACAACAGCAGGAATCAGAGGTTTATCTCAGGGTATTAGTTCTAAATCACAGCCTTCTCCACCCGATAGACCAATACATCATTCACAGCAGTAAGGCTGCAGTCTGTCTGGATTCCTCACTTACCTTGAGCTCTGTTAAGTGCAGCAGAACGCGTCTTCGTCCCCTCTACAGACTCCTGAGGCATTACATGGTTGCTTTCTGCAAGTGTAGGTCCGGAAAACTTCAGTGTGTAGATGCGAGGTTTGAAACTGACTGACTGGATGTGCAACAGACTGTGTTCTTATGCTGTGGTGAACGGAGCATAGAACTTGGAACATGGAACATGGAGAAACGTCTCTATGGTTACAGTGAAGGTATCTACAATATGCAAATGAGCCTTTAGAGTAAATGTGTGTGTGTGGACGGTGTATTTGTATTGATGGAGCTCATCCACTTGACATGGTGCATAAAACACTTTGCTCTACTTGTTTTTTTCTATGACCCCATCTTGATCTTGAAAGCAAACACTTTAAGAATGAATAAAGAACGATTTTTGTCCATTATTTCATCAAGTCGGAAATTTGTAAACTGTTGAATTCGGATTTTTAAACATCCCTTTCGAGCCCTCTTGTCTCCAGTCTTCATGCTAAGCTAACCAGCGGCTGGCTTTAGCTTCACGTTGAGCGCGCAGACATGAGAGTAGGGATGAGTATCGTTTGGGTTTTTCCGATACCGATCCTAAACAGAGCCTGAACCCAAACACAATTGAAGAAAAGTTTTTTTCACTTCAAACTATGCACAATATATGAACTTTTGAAAGTTTACAGTATGATTACAGTGTTTCCCCTCTGTAACAGCGGAAGTGTAGTTAATTGGAATTTGGGGAATATTAATCATTTAATTTGAGATTCATGTTCATTGTGCAGGAACTAAAGACATTTATTAAAAAGCATTTACGTTAGATTGACGCTCCTTGTTTGTCTCAAAGTATTGGCGTGCAACACAGAAGAGCTGCATGAGGCACGAGAGCACATCGCTTCTCTATTGTGTAGAAAAATAAATACGAATAGAAGGTAGATGGCTAGCTAGCTGCTGTAGCTACACAAGCGGTGAGCCATCGTTAGCTGCTGCGAGGACAGAGTTATCAGACTGTTTAATTAGGGTGACCAAGCGCCCCCTCCACCTGTCACTCACCGAATCAGTTCATTCAGTGCACCTGCTAGTCACAAACACTACTGAGCCATCACATATAGACATCTGTTAGTCTTCACAATTTAACTAGATGCCCGTTAGCATTATTTCTGTTTTGGAATTCCAGGGCGTTGTTATCTGTCATGGAACATTTGATGTAAGTCCAAAATAAACGTCTAAAGATGTATTGGTAGACACAGTACATATGTATACTGATAGATGGTCTCAGTGTCGAAAACAAAACATGACGTCACTACAATAAACTCAGCCGCAGAGGCTGCTGGGAGAATCTTGCTGTGCTGGAGACATTTTGGATTTAAAGGGGCTGAGCTACCCGTCATAACCAGCTCTCGGTAAGTGATAGCAAACGTTATATGTCCACTAACTACAATAGTAATTGTGTTGAATCTGTATATTGTTGTTTATTTAAGTGGTATTGAACTAAGTCACCGCGAATAGAAACGAACGGCTGTGCGGGTCAAACGGGCTGAACTCGTAACAACTAGGGAGTGGTGACGCTAGCTGGTTAGCTCCAGCTAGCTGCTCGCCGAACGGGAGGGCTAATTGATCGGAAAACTAGCTTCACTACGAGGTTAGCTAATTAATGAGTGCGGGGAATATGACAACGGATCCAGTGAACGAAAGATTTGGCAAAACGTACCGTTGTTACTAAAACAAAACCTTTCAGGTGGAGGTAAAACATCCTGACAACTGCAAAACTAATAACAAATGATAATTCTGAGTTTAATAATTAACGGCGCTCCTGCGAATAACAAACCATCTATAAGTTAACGTCGTCTTTAAGAGTTGAACGGAAGCGTTCCGACGCCTCCGCGCTGTTGTTATGAGCACGTTCAGATTGTGCAGAGTCATTACCGCAGAGCTACACGCGATGGTGAAATGAAATATCAAGCATCGTGTTGAACGCTTGCTAACGTCGTTGTCGTGGTGTGTAGACGGTAATACAACGGCGTGGCGCTCACAGGTGTCCCCGGGTAAAGCATCGCGCTCAACCCGAGGAGTGTGTCGCAGAACGAGCACATCGTTCCCCTTCTCTCCGCATCATTGGCACCATTCAGGCGGGCAGCTTTCGGACAACCGGTGGGTGGGAAATCAGCCCTCCCGCAGCTGGTCCCAGTGGCATGGTGGAGGACTGGGTGGGGTGAGGGGGCGCTGACATCTCCTCCTCCTGCTCCTGCCACACCCTCCTTGGTTGCTGCCTCTCCTTTTGTGTGTGACGTTGATGCAAAAATCACGTCATCATGTGGGAAACGCACAGACATCACCAGCTGGCTGCTTGTCTCAACCACTGCAGTCTGCATGTTCTGTTTTATTATCACAATACCAACAAGCACCACACACTCTGCTTATCTGTTTCCACCGCTTATACAAATGGTTTGTTGTTGCAGTTCATCATCCACTCAGCTTTTCAGTAACATTGTACAAAATACGTTTGCACTTTTGTGTAAACCAATCACACGTGGAAGTATCAGGCGTACACTGTGAAAAAACAAAATTAAAGGCCATGCCCACGAGAAAGGAATGACCGTTGGGCAGTGATTGTAGGAGGAGATGAGGAAAAAGAATAAACGAGGGTCTGAGCGATGGAGCGATAATTCATTGCCCGAGGCTTCTCTCAAGATATGAAGTAATAATGGCCATTGGAGCTCTGGATAAACCAACCCGACAGGTTGATGGCCCAGATTTCCACTGCTCCGAGGGGAAATGAACAAGGCAGGGAATGTAGTCCCCAAAGTTGTTTCTGTAAAGACACAACTGTCTTTTATAACGCTGTGAGGTCCTCGGGGTTGTTTATATTGGCTTCTGGGCTGGATTTGCTACGGATAGCTGCAATATAATATTACCTTTGATACCCTGCCAGGTTGAATCATCAAACTTGCCTTTTGAAATTGCGTTCATCGATGTTAAATCTAAGACTCGTCCATTCATTTGGTTTAACAAGGTTAGTAAACAGCATTTTGATAGTTTTGAAGGTTTTGTTTTTGCTACAAATGAGATTGTTATATATTGCGGTTCTGTCTGTATGTCTACACATTTTACTTGGGTATATTTGATTCGCACAATCTCCTGTCCTGTTTTACTGGGGCACAAATGGTTTCCCATCACTTTCTGACAATCTGCTTGGTTCGATGTGACGTGAAAGGCAATGTTTAACCATGTCACCTATGGGAAAAAGGTCTCACCAGACATGTAATGCTTGTGCGAATGAAGGGCCAGCAGCTAGCTGTAAATCGGTGGAATATTTTCACAAATATTGCACAGCACTCTCGGGTAGGAAGGTTTTGACCTTGCTGCGTGACGCGTGTCTTCATCCTTGAGGGCTTGGAAAAACTATTTTTGTGTCTGTAAATAGCCTCGTTGCGTCCATCCCCATTAGACCTTTTCCTTTGTGTCTGAGGAGTCTAGATCAGGAGGGCTCCCTCCCCCACCGACCTGCTCCTCCGCTCTCCTCCCGTGGGCGGGGCTGCATCTAGATGTGAGCTGCTCTGTGAGCAGTAGGAAGGTCATCATCATCCTCCCGCGAGCGTCTCTCGTTTTCCTCCTTTCCGCTGCCGGATTCCTGTTCCGTTTCACTTCCATTGACCCGTGTTTCACATCGACCGTTTCCGTTTTAAGGACGATCACTTTGGATTAGCGGGGCAATTATAATGCATTTTGCCTGCGTGTAGCGGGATCGCTCGAGGAGTCGTCGTCCTCATTTCATCCACCCTCACCGTCCCAAAGTATGAGGCTCTGATCGGCCACTTAAACAGAGGTTAGTTTTCTGGTCCAGGAAGCTGAAACAGTGGAAAATATGCTGTTTTAAAGATATAGATGGCTTCCAGGAGGCATTTAGTGGGTTTTGTAATGGATGTTAAATATTGTCAGATGTTTCAATTCATTTTTTTTCCCCTAAAGGAAATCATTGTTTAGAATGTGGTTTACTTTAATGGTCCTACATTTTGTATAATGCCACTCTAACGGTCTTATATTTGCAAGCTCATGCAAAGCTTTATTACATAAAATCGTTAATCTGCTGCAGAGCGCCAGCGAGCAGCAGCAGGGAGATCTGTGGGTGCACCGCGTCTTATCCCTGGTAGGGTTGTACCAGGGAGCCCTAAGTGGAGGGACAAGTTGACTTCTTGCTAGGTTTAAGAAGTAAAGATTTCCTCTTACAACCCAATGCTATGGAGGGCATGAGTTTGTGCTGTTATGTAGTGTAATGTGAGACATGAACATGGCGAGTGACTGCATTTTAACGCAGGTCAGCAGGATGAGAAGTCCTGTTCTGGACCGTGTGTGTGTGTGTGTGTGTGTGTGTGTGTCTTTTTTGACACCATCATTTAGTTGTTCAGTGCAGAAGTAAACGTTAAAGATTAACTTACGGACCGTCTTTGTGAAGGAAAACAACAGGCCTGTTGGACTTTATCTCCCCTCTTTGAAAAGTGAACATATTTACTTCCTCCGTCTGAGGAAAACAAAAGTCCTGGATACAGGTGTGTGTGTGTGTGTGTTTTCATCAAGGCGAAGCTGCTCGTTTCTCCCCCGACTGACATGAAAGCGCTTGTTCTTTCTTTGTTAGCTGCTGTGTACACTCGGCTAGTCGGGCCTTTCATCCTCACAGGCGTTTAACTCCTGCGTCGCAGAGTAACTCTGCAGGGCAACGCGCCGTGTGATCCGTGAATATGCTTCATCTTTCTGATGGATCGTGTCGTACCTCATTAGGAGCAAGTCTAAGCTTCGGCTTACTCAAAAGGAGGAAGTACCTTTGGCTCCACTGTTGAAGAAAGCTTCATTTCATATTTCTGCCATTTGCTTTCAAGTTCGGGTTTTGTAAAAATCTGCCCTTTTATGAAGCGCTCTCCCATTCCATGGCGCATTGTTTTAGAACATATCACTCTAAATGCTGCATACGTCGGAATTTTATGGAAGTCTGTCATTCCTTTGACAATGCAAATGAGAGTACGGCTTGATTTGTTTGTAGCATTTGAATAGACTTCTAAATAAAGTGCTGTGTCGGGGCAGAATGGCTCTACCTCATCTGGGGCCTGGTCTGCTTCTACCAAAAACTTGTTCCCTCTTGCCTGCTGCTTTCATTTTTCCTCATGCATGCCACTACAAACCTTCTGTTTTTTTGTCATACTAGACACTCAGCAGAAACCTGCTCGTTTTGATCTCGACGCTTTGCTTCGGTTCGGTTAAAAAAACAAATGTTGAGCAGCAAAAACATCCCACTCCTCTTTAGCTTCTGTGTGTACATTTGATGGTCTGAAATCTCGTCGAGTGGTTAAGAACAAGTGTACATTACTATTCATTCATCATGTTTAAATTGAATGGGGCCATTTGATAAGTGCCTAATGGTCTCTGGTCTCTGAAGAGGTCGGCTCTCTGTGAATCTGCTCTTTTTACTGCTCGTCTGTTTGCGACTGTGAAATGGGTGTAACGACACGATGCTACATGAAGCCAAAGTGCATAATTGCAGACAAGAGAATCTTTATGAGTCACCACAGCTTAAGAGACTCTTTGCTTCAGGAATTTAACAGGAAAGCTTCTTTTGAGGAAAATGAGGAAAAATCAACTGATGTCATTTTTTCAGTCAAACAAAATACAGCTTCCTATTTTAAATACGTGGGTTTGTGAACCCAAGGACGGTAGGAAAGGCAATATCCATTCCAGCTGAGGGTTTTCCCCCTGCCAGCACATGTGCACATGTCTTCTCTCTGTCCTCCCATACGCGCCTGCGTGTTTTATGCCCGACACTTTGCATTATCTTCTGCACATCCTGAACATCTAATGTGTGCTACAAAGCTCCGACGTCACTGATTAAATCTCATTTCCTCAGGCTGACGGACATCTGATTGGTCAGTGCGTCTAATGGCCTTCAGGAAATATTTTAACGTGACTGTTACAAAACGAGACGAATCGAATGTATTGACAACAATTGTCACCTGACACCATAGTTTTCCCTGAATTTGCATCTACGTTAATTTCCTGGTCAAGTCTAAGTGTTTGTTTTTTTGTAATATTCTGTTGGTTCTGTGCTTTTAATAGACAATTGCTGGAATGCGTGTGGCAAAGCAGGGAGTGGCTCACTAATGGAGGCACTTTTTTATTTTTTATTTTGGCATATGGCTCTCAGCTGGGATTTACCCCCTCCCCCTCCCTCATCCACAGCGTTGATAAAATACAGCTCCCCAGCCCCACATTGCCTGGGACCCCCGTCTCTTCTTCCACTGACATTTGCGCTGTTTAGCCAACAGTTGCTTGGTCCAGTGAGACAGAGGTTCTCTTTAGACCGTTTGGGGGAAAACGGCAAATGTTCCATGCGCTCAACCAAAAAGGCTGCCGTTGTTGTTGTCAGAGACCCTATGATTGACTCTTGTGGCGTTTGGCCTAAGTCTGCGTCACCGAGGCTTTTGTCACGTCATCCTCTCGTAGACTCTAAAGCCAGTGGTGCACCGGGCCCGGTGGAGTGTGCTGGCACCAGCAGGCACCCACACTGCAGCATCTGGGTGCCCTCTGCTTCACTGCAGCTCCTCTGCTGCGAGAGCTTATTATAGGCGCTAAACAGTCGGTCTACCAAAACGTGCTTGGCGGATGCTGCTTTTAAAACAGTCCGTTCCATTTCTACTTTTTCTTTGAATCCGTTTTCAGATTTTCAGGTTTTCCTGAGCTACATAGAAGATGTCCACCATGGTGTATCCACGGGAAGAGAAGCTCGAGAAGCTGACTCAGGAAGAGATCATCTCCAACACCAAGCTGGTGATCCAGGGTCTGGAGGCCCTGAAGAACGAGCACAACTCCATCCTGCACAGCCTCCTGGAGACCATCAAGTGCCTAAAGAAGGATGAAGAGGCCAACCTGGTGCATGAGAAGTCCAACCTGCTCCGCAAGTCCGTGGAGATGATCGAGCTGGGCCTGGGAGAAGCACAGGTAAGACCGCCGTGTCAGAGCTACGATGACGTAATAAGTAGGTATAGTTCGGATAAAGGTAGTTACATAGAAAATGTTATTTAAAACAAAGGTTGCTTGCATTTTTCTTTTTATATCCGAATTTATATAAAAAGACACCACGGCTCTCACTGTAGTCAATGAGCTTGCGTTTTCTCATTCTATACTGAGCTGGTGTGGTGGTCGTGATTCTACTGGACTCCGCCTGGCGTTTCTCTCTTTGGCCCTTTCTCAATACCTAAGATGGTGAGAACGGACTTGCTTTCCCGCGAGAATAGACTCTGGGGACGGACTCTGTCCTGACTCGCGGGAAACGGAGAATGGTCATTTACACAATTGGAACAGCAGCTGACTTGATGACGCCACCAGATGACGTCACCACGTCAGCTAGCCATAAAATAAGAGGCAAAATATCTCAATGGATCAGATCAGAGTTGTTATACAGTTGAACATCTTTCTAAAGAAGATGAAGAGGAGCAGCTGTAGTTTGTTGCTGCTGAACTTTCCTGGATTACACTGACAGTTGTATATTTAATTTGTATTCATATTGGATGGAAGAAATAACGTTACAGAGGAGAACAACTCAGGGCTGTTTTATTACATCACACTGCAATAGCTGTATTATGGTTTCATAAAGTAAGAGGTGGAGGTTGGATACAGTAACAACAATTAAACAGTACACAAGATATTGAGAAAGGGCCTTTCTCGCTCGCTCTCTCTCTCTACCGCTTCGCCCGCTGCCCCCCTCGTTCACCGCTCTCCGACGCCCTCTTCTCGTGTCCCAGGTGATGATGGCGCTGTCCAACCACCTGAACGCGGTGGAGTCAGAGAAGCAGAAGCTGCGCGCGCAGGTGAGGAGGCTCTGCCAGGAGAATCAGTGGCTGCGGGATGAGCTGGCCAACACCCAGCAGAAGCTGCAGAAGAGCGAGCAGAACGTGGCCCAGCTGGAGGAGGAGAAGAAGCACCTGGAGTTCATGAACCAGCTCAAGAAGTACGATGAGGACGTCTCCCCCACTGTGAGTACTTTGAACGGTTACCAACTCCATGAGTACAACTTGGTCCCGATTCTATTCGAGTGAGATTGAGACATCTATGAGTCTGCCATGTTTTGTGTGTTGTGTTTAACATCGCTGTCATGGTAACAGGACTAACCCATTATTCCTCTTAAATCCGTTAATAGGGAAAGCTTCCGTTGTGTGGTTTCCAATTCCATTAATTATTTAATTTATTTACCATAAGTAGTTATTTTATTAATAACCATAAGCACCATGTTGGCATCCTTTGGTTCGGACCTAACCTGGAACCCTACATTGGTTTGAATCTTGAAAAATGACAGATGTAATTAGAAAGTGTGGACAAATGTCAACGATATTCGATACAGGAGAGAAAAAAACACAGCTGCGTGGTCTTCCGCTCTCTGTTCAGGTCCTTATTGATCGAATGGTGCATAATCTGACCTTTTTTTCTCAGTTACAAAATGGCTCCAATAGCCAGTATCCACTAACAGGAAATTGCAGAAAATACTCCTCCCAATACCCCGCTGGGTTCTTATGGTTTTTCTTTTCCATTTCACAGCTGTTCGCGAGCTACTTTGTTACCGTCCATCTGTAATAATTGTTAGTGATAGAACGCTGACATTTCTGCTTCATGCAAGAGTTGAATGACTTTATGCAAATGAGAGATCACCGAAGAAATAAAACAACCGTCAACAAAGACCGAATCTACTCAGAACTAGTTTAGCCATCTTGAAACCAATGCATGTAAGATGTACATCCTGTGTTACAGAGTTCTATGAGAACACAGCACATGTGATTGACAGAGCAGACGTGTAGTTGACAGAAATAAGGTTACATCCATCCATAACCATCTTTGATATCACTTTACTGAATATGAGCAAAAGTGCTTCCAGAGGGTTGTCTGTGACTCCCTGATGTCTGTTTGAGGGTCTGACTGGCAGGTTCCGTTTATCCTCTCAGCAGGAGGAGAAGGACCGAGAAACACCGAAGGACTCCCTGGACGACCTCTTCCCCAATGACGAGGAGGAGCAAGGCCAAGGAAGTAGGAACTTTACTAGACTGTAAAACCTGATAACGTAGCTTCCAAAAGGTTACAGTACTCCTTTAGAGCAAAGCGACAATACCACTTTGATTCTAAGTGTTGTGATCAAAATGATCATTAAAGGACTGTACCCTCACAGTGCCGCACCAACACAACAGCGCGGCCGTGGCCGCGGCCCAGCAGGGAGGCTACGAGATCCCGGCCCGCCTGAGAACCCTGCACAACCTGGTGATCCAGTACGCCTCCCAGGGCAGGTATGAGGTGGCTGTGCCCCTCTGCAAGCAGGCTTTGGAGGACTTGGAGAAGACTTCTGGACACGACCACCCCGACGTGGCCACCATGCTCAACATCCTGGCCTTGGTCTATAGGTCAGACGTGCCCCTGAACGGGAGCTTGTGCTGGTTCTACTGCGATCCGGTTCTGTCAGACGTGCAGTCTCATCTCGCGCTGTCTCTTCCTCTCACTTGCACAGGGACCAGAACAAGTACAAAGAGGCCGCCCATCTGCTCAACGATGCTCTGTCCATTCGTGAGAAGACCCTCGGGAGAGACCATCCCGCTGTAAGGCTCCACCATCGTCACGACAACCATATCTTCATGCCGACATATTAATTTCTTTTAGATGGATCCGATTAGTCATTCTGGTCTTCTGTATACTCTGTTCTACTCACTATGTATGGATTATTTTTATTCTGCATTAGAACTTCACATTTGCCTGCAGGCTTTAGAATAATCAATCAAAGCTCAATCGAACCACAAGTTCGCTTCAGTCAGATTACAACAATTCATGGGAAACATTCAGACATGCTCTCAATATAATTTCAAATGCTTCTGTAAAGATATCTATATGAATCTATTTACGCCCTGTAAGACCTGAAGGAAGCTGGGGCTCATGTTGTTAGTCTGGTGGCTCTGTCTGATCCTCCTTAAAGATGAATGAGACAGGCTGCTTTGATCATTTGAAAACAAAAAACATTTTAGGACAACGCAGAAAGGTAAACAATGTTATTGTCTGTATGAAATTAAAGGGGTGGCTTTAATCAGGTTTGCTGTGTGTCTATCTATCTATCTCTGTCCAGGTTGCTGCGACGCTGAACAACTTGGCTGTGCTGTACGGAAAGCGAGGAAAGTACAAGGAGGCGGAGCCTCTGTGTAAGAGGGCGCTGGAGATCAGAGAAAAGGTAGGCCACCTCCCTGGGCCGCGCCAGCAGAGCCGTGCTATCGAGGCCTCGTCTCAGGGCTCAACCAGCACACAAGCTCATTGATAGTGGTAATATTTCCAAGATGTCAGTTGTAGCAACTATAAATAGAGGAATGAGACTATGATCTTGTTACTTTTTCTATGGAGGAACCAATTACCGCATTGAAGGAGTTCAACAGAGAACACTGCTGAAATTGGATATCCGTCTTTGTGGGAGAGACGCTGGAGATATATAGGAGGGTTTGCAGAGTCTCTCTGCCTGAAATCAGCCAGCCTTTTGTTAGATCCCCTGAGCAGACGAGAGGCGCATACGGGAGAGATTCACAGTGAAAGCCAACCAGTCTGCTTCTTTACTTTTTTTCTTTCCCTCAGGTGCTGGGTAAGGAACACCCAGATGTTGCGAAACAGCTGAACAACCTGGCTCTGCTCTGCCAGAACCAGGGCAAGTACGACGAGGTGGAGTACTACTACTGCCGTGCGCTGGAGATCTACGAGTGCCGGCTGGGCCCAGATGACGCCAACGTGGCCAAAACCAAGAATAATCTGGTGAGTCACCGCTTCCACACCGGGCCTTTATCGTGCATTTCATACCAACGAGAATAGAGTATTGAGCTGTGGGTTTAACCGGCTGACGCCGTCAGTGTGTTAAACAGGGAGATTCTTTCTGCAAAACCTCAAAATATCTTTCAGAACTTGTGATTAACTTTTTTTTTTGAGGTTCACACTGTCTTTCTAGAATAAAAGTTATGAAGCTGTTACTCTACTTCATCTTAAGAGGTGTTTACTGATACGGTAGCAAGCCAATAGTCCTTTTTGTCCACTGTCTCGCTTTGCTTGCTTCTGTCTTTGAGGATGATGGAGAAGCAATAAAGGAAGGCAGTATCCTTACAGTATACTGCTCCTTCCTGACTTCCTCCTTCCGTAGGGGCTCCTATTTGATCAGAAGCTACAATGTGCCTTCTCTGTCTTCCTCAGGCGTCCTGCTTTCTCAAGCAGGGGAAATACAAGGAGGCTGAGATTCTGTACAAAGAGATTCTGACTCGCGCTCACGAGAAAGAGTTTGGATCCGTTGATGGTAAGGACTCGTGTAGCTGACGGTTTGTATGGCGGCTCTCGGTTTGAAGGGTTATGTTCTGTGTTTCATGGTTTATTAAAAAAAAAAAAAAAACGATAGAAATTTATTCCAAGAGAATTTGTGGTGGGTTCACATTAAACGTCCCCTCAGAATACACAGATTAGATTTTTTCTGCCTTCATCTTTCCTTCACAATTGTCTCACGTCCCGTCTAATGTTTGTCTCACATCAGCAGAGTGAGTGATGGACAGATGTTTAAAAAGAGGACGTGTTCTAAGCGGTGGGCCATCCGTCACCACTCAGAGGATACAAAGACCCTAAACAAACTCTTTAAAGAATAAAGAAATGACTTGTCTGAAAGGTCTTGCAATGTTCTTCTCTTTCGATACGAGTCGAGTTATTTGTGGGCTTTCCTCCAGGGGTTAGATTGACTGTTTTGAAAAAGGAATGAAAGGAAGTACAACGCAGCGCTCTGGTGCTTTTTATGCAAAAGCTTCTCACATTTTTCAGAGCGCTTTTATTTCCTGTGCGTCACTTAACTTGACAATAGCTCTTAAATATCTTTTGAAAACCTGTTTGAAGAGTTGAAGGTTGAGAGAAGCAGCAGAGCAGCAACAGTTTGTGTTCCCACAATGGTTTCTGTCACATCCTGTGCAATATCTTTCAGATTTTTAGTTAAGAGTGGTACGTACGACGGTAAAATGTTCATAGTATCAAAACATACTTTTACTGTTACGTACTGTTGTTGTTTTTTACACCAAAACAATTAAATGGCATGTTTCTGGGATTGACTTGTTTATTTGTTTACCCACGTTCTTCTCCCTTTAGTGTAATAAGCATCTGAAAAATATATTTTATCACATTTTAAACACAGTACTCACAGAATTTCTAAATCCAGCTTTATATTATTAACAACTGTCTTTAATACTTTTGACACTGTGGAAACAGAGAGCTCACCAGCCTCATATTTGTGTAGCCGTGTACATGGCAGCAATCCAAACCAGGTTGTGTCTCCCTCAAGACACCGATATAAATGACAGACTAATAAGCAAACCGAGCGGTTGAAGTCCCTCCCGGTGCGTCGTGCTATCAGAGCGAGCTCGGCCTTATCAGCACCCTCGGCAGTTCCTGCGCTCCACTAACCCTCCTGACATCGAGCCTCTCGGTCTGTTGTGCTGTCTGTCGACCACCTCTCCTGTGTGTTTGTCTGCAGCTGAAAACAAGCCCATCTGGATGCACGCCGAGGAGAGAGAGGAGATGAGCAAGGTGAGGACATCGTGTAATCCACAAAAAGCTGAGCAAATATTCAAAAGGAGGAAACACACACACACACAATATAATTCCCAGTAGGCAGATGATATTTACAGTGAACACAGAAGAAAAGCTTCTGCTCCAGTTCAAAGCTGCCACTCCCCTTCACGCTCCCCTCTTCCGCTTCCTCTTTATTTACTTCCAGGGCAAGCACAGAGACAACACTCCCTACGGAGAGTACGGAGGCTGGTACAAAGCCTGCAAAGTCAACAGGTGAGTCGCAGTGTGATAAGCTTTTTTTTTTTTACAACTTGGTCATAAATTAAGGCACGTGGTTAAAGAAATGAGCTTGAGGGAAGCCAATGGCTGTAGTTGTCAAGTAGTTTTCTACATCTTTTGAGTTTTTGCTGTGATCGAATTGTTCCTTAAAAGGAATTCTTTTGTTTTTCCTGTGTGTGTGCAGCCCAACAGTGAACACCACCCTGAGGAACCTGGGCGCCTTGTACCGCCGGCAGGGTAAACTGGAGGCTGCAGAGACGCTGGAGGAGTGCGCCGTGAGGTCTCGCAAGCAGGTCAGCAGCATTTATTTATTAATGGATTTTACTACAGAAACTGTCTTGTTTCTGCATTCAGATATGTCCTCACTTCCTGTTTCTGTAAAATCCTAAACATAGAATCCAGAATCTCATGATTATTTCTTTCCTCTTTCTCTACAATGCGTTGGATCCAGAGCAACACAGTAAGTGGTTTGTGTCTCACTGATAGTCCAGCCTCGCCCACCACCACCACCATAGACCACCTCTGTCCCCTAATAACGCTCCCATCACAGACATCTATAATGTCACCATGTCTCTGCGTTGCCATAGCGACAGTGTTGTGATCTCCCTTTATTACCTCCAAGTAACTTAACACATCAACGAGCTGCGGCTTACCGCGGAGCGCCTTGTAATTACGGGACGTCCCTCTGTCTCCATCGCACCTGTGTGTTGTTCCCATCAGGGCATCGACCCCATCAACCAGACGCGCGTGGTGGAGATCTTGAAGGATACGGACAGCGACCGGCGGAGGAGCCGGGACAGCCTGAGCAGCGTTAAGTATGAGAGCGGCACCGAGACCGGCGAGGAAGTGAGTATGGGCGTGGAGTGGAACGGGGTGAGTACAAATCCACTATAGTCGAGTCAACAGGGCCAGTGACCTCACCGGAAGAACAAGGCGGTGTCAGCACTGGTACAGAGCGGCTGACTTATTGGGCACCTGAAAAGAGGACTCTTGTCCTTTTTTAGAATAGCCATGTGTAGGCACGGTCTTATATTTAACAGGAAGCTGACTCCTTTGGCCCATGTGCCTAAAATCAGTCAGTCAGGAAGTGAGTGTGAGGAGCATCATCCACTCGCTGATGCTCCTCACTCCCGTCCATCTGCACAAAAGCATTTCATGATGTCAGTATCACATCATAATTTATGAGCTGCATTACACATTTATGAGATACATATATCAGGCCAACTTGTTCAATGTGCTCTTCAAAAAAAGCAATTTGAGGCACAACCTTTATTTTAAAAATGACATCAGTGGAACAGCTGCTCATTCCCAGTAGTAGTGTGGCCGTCTCAATAAACTGTATCTGTACCAGTCCATCGACATCTTGTACAAGTGTCTTTTTCTTCTCATGAGGTCGATCTGGAATTCCTTTTTGCCAAACGTAACGCTGATTGAGTGTCTCGGCATACTAGAAGTTCTATGTTTTTTTTTCTTTTTTTGTTGTCCATTTGCTCGACAATGAAGTTCCAGTGTCTTGTTTTGTTAACAAATGGATGTCATGCTGGCAATGCTTCTGCACAAGTGGTGCAGTAACAAAAACAACAAAAAGGCACACGCTCATTGTTTGGCTCCCTGGCAGTATGTAAAACATGTCTCGTCTTTTGGTGCACTCGCTGAGACGCGTCCTGTCAAAATCCTTATAAGGATGTCTCTTGTTTCTACTATTAAACACCGTATCCTTGCTGCTCAGGCACAAACTGGACATGGTTGATTATGTAACTCTTCATCCTCCAGTTAGTCTCATTTTAACAACTGAACAATCGTCCTTCCCACTGGACTTTGCCTTGTTATCAAAGAGGCTGGTGCTGAAAACATGATGTTAAACGTAGCCGTGCATGTGGTGCTGAGCTGTGTCCCAGCTGGAAGGAGCCATCTGGCGAGTCTTACATAATCCAGAGGGCAGGACTTTCATTTTTATTTGCCAGCAGAGATGCCTCGCCTGAGCCTGTGCCTTCTACCCCCCACGCCCCCTCACGTGAATGCATCCCGGCCAAACCCAGTCCAACACATGCACGCAGCACCGCCAGCCTGCTGGGCTCACACTTTCTAACATGCGCACTAATGGGCCGTGTTTGTGCCTTTGCTGTTTTTTCACGTGGTCGATAAATGTCTGTTAACCCGACGTCCGCTGCTCCCTCTGAGCAACGGCGAGTGGAAAGGTGGGGTTTTGTTTGCTGGCTGTTGTGTGAATGCTTCTACACACACACACTTTCACCGTTGCCATCCGCAGCATTGGGAAATAAATGTGCACCATCCACACTGAAGGTGTACCGGCGACATTCTCACGCAATTAAACGTTGTTTCTGAAACCAGATTCCATTGCGGGTCAAAGAAAAAACAGCTCCATTTGTCCATCCATCCATTCATTTAAGCAGCTTCAGCATCTTCCTTTGAAGCCATCAAGCTTGTAGAGTCCTGTCTGCTTGTGTGTGTGAGTGCGCCCCGCTGAGTGGTTTCACATACTCTTACAAATACCTGCCGTCTCATTATTCAGATGCCACTAACGTAAGTGGCACATATTCCCGGTTGTGTCAAGTTGAATCGGTAGCATGTCCGTGCAGCGTGTTCTTGTGCGTGGTGTGATTTACAAAGCACGCGTGTCTGCTTTCTGCGCCCTCTGCCTGCCGTCTCCGTGCGCTGCCCGTCTGTCTTGCATGCCGTCCGGACGCCGTCCATTTCCTTCCTTTCCTGCTCGCCACTAACCCACTTTCCTTGTTGATGACTCATGCCCTGACAACCAATCAGCCTGTCGATCAGATCTCCCTCTCTCCTGCTCAGTGGATTGTACTCTCTCCGTCTTCAGCTCTCCTTCTGCACAACACGCTCGGGTGGGTCGTCATAGTGACACAATAGACCAGCTCATTAGTCGCCAAACTGAAGGCTGACGCCGGAGAACTGAGATCAGGTGCCGATATATAGCTGAGGGATTCTGCCTCACCTCGTTGAATGCAGGAGTTTATTTTTAATTTCCAAGTGCTGTTCATAAAGATGGAGCGCAGCGGCTCCCCATCGGTGCTGATGCTTGCAGATGTCATACGTCCGCAGTGCACAGTCACCGGCTGGCTGCGGCGTGCCAAGTCCAGGCCCCACCGGCACCCGGGGAGGGAAAGGAAAAACGGCTGAGTCACTCTGACTGCAACCGCCCACCTACTGCATCGCTGACCCGCTTACTGCGGTGCTGCTGTAGGTGTCGCTTCTGTTGCCGTGTGCTCTTCACGAAAAGCTAAAAACCAGCACGCTGCAATAAAGACTGGGTGCAGGATAGATATTTCTACATCGAACATCAGACTAAGCGTAGCTAACGGGGATGAGGCGGAGGGTTAGCACAGGAATCCCCGGAGCGCTCCTTCTCACAATGTGTGCCGTGTTTGTCTGTTTTTCTCTCTCTCCTCTTTTATCAGGCGTAAGCCGTCAAGATTATTCCTCCATCCTTCTCTCCTTACCCGACACCATAGCAAAGAGGAGTTGCGTGTTGTCGTTCCCTCTGGCCTTCTCTGTCCCACGCAAAGCCAACAGGTCCTCTACCATTCCCCGGTGCCCCCCCCCCCACCACCCAAAACCAACCCACCCCCGCGCTCTTCGGCAGGGACGCAGAAAGTGTCCTCTCGACTGTCACTTTGTCCACTGCTCACCTGACAACTGCTGAGACGTTTGGTCTTCTCATCTCTGCTCCCATCCTCCCACCCCCCTCTCTCAACTCTCTCTCTCTCTCTCTTTGTCCTTTGTTCTTACTAACTCTTGTGTCGTAGCAGTGATCGTTGCCTCTCACTTAACAGAAAAAAAAAATCTAATAAAAAGTCATTATCTTTTCGCCCACGAGGAAATCACTCGCACATTTCTCCTCTCCGAACACCCATTTGTAATATTTCATTGGCGCACTGTCGATTCTAGAGCAGAGGACCAGGGAAGTGTGTTACTGGGAGGAGGCAAAAGATGAAGGTTTTTAGAGATCAATGTGACCCTTTGAGGGCAGCCTGGTTCAGCAGGCATCACAGCCACTCAGTCAGGTGACCGAGTGACATTCACCATGGAGTCCAACAAAACAAAACACTGTTTGGAAATAACGGTACTGCGTACTTTAACATCTATGACATCTGCTGCATAGTTGGAAATGACAAGGGAGCATTAGTAATTTTTGATTTTTATAGATGCATTTTCTTTCATTTTTTTAATCATATTGTTTACAATTTTTTGTTGTCTTTTTTTAAATGTTGATTATTCTGTGGCTAAACATTATGGCAGCAGACTGTTGGCAAATGCAATACTGTCGCCTGTGCCGAACGACCACACGAGTCCACATCTGACAGCAAATTGGTCAGGTCACATCCAGCAGTCGTTGCCATGGTAATTTGTTTTCAAGTCGCTCTGACTGGCGCCAGTGTCCTTGATTCGATAATAAGAGTTTTCACGTACGGTGCACAGCATGTACATGGTAGCTTGCATTTACAAAAGGAATCCGCAGCATTGGCTGAAGCTAACCGAGACCAGCCGGTTGCATAGTAACGGTAGATTTTTAAATAATCAACGGAAATGAGCAGAATTAGCTTTTTGTCTTTGTTGGTGCCGGAGTAGAAGCTGGTGTTCTTATTCAATGGAAGCCTGGATTCCAGTCGTTTTAGTGTGTATTTGTGTATGTTTTGGTGGTACAGTCACAGCGCCCGATACGCTATTGGATACTGTGTTTTAAACTCAAAGCTTGATGGAGTGTGTTGCCTTTTTCTTACAGTTGTTTGCAAGTCAACATTGTCACTGGTGAACCGTTATTTTACACTCCGAACTTCAAAGTGCAAAGAGTGTTTTCCCTCAAGATCAATATGTTATTTCAGATGTTTAACTAACTGAATGTAAAATTAATTTAACATCCTTTAAGTGTAATTGTAGGCTGTATTTAGATTCGACAAGTGCATTCACTATATGGCTTTTCAGTTTGCTACTTGCCTTGATCCTTCATTCCTTCCAATGAGTACTCCTATACTTCTAATGCAACTCTGAACAAAAGAATTGACGATGTACATCACATAATTATGACTATTGTTGTGTTAGTGCAATGCTTATTTATTGAACGGTTTACTCTTGACATACATGCATACATATATATATATATATAGTGTGACTTCACTTTCCTAAAGCGGAAGAACATAAATGGTCTATAAGCACTATCTTAGTAAGTAGGACTGCATTATATTTACCATCCTGCATTGTGAAGATTCATTGCTTCAACACTTGTTGTTATTCTCAAATAAAGTTTTTCATTTGTGGAGTTTTGTCTTTTCTCTGCATTACTTTGAGAGATGCATTTAGGTTTCTTCTGGTGGATCAACAGCGCCTGCTGCTGGCGATGCGCCTGTATTGCATTCTGATAATCACAACTTAACCCCTTAATGTCCATCACATATTTATGACAATATTGTTCTTCTGATGCGTCGCACCAAAGCCAGAGGACGGAACACAAACTCTGTTTTGAAAACGCGCACTATGCACGACAGCTGGTGTGCTGTTTAAAAATGAATGGATGGATGGATAAATTCATAATATAATCAAAATTAAACTTTGAACATCACTATTTTTATTGTCTGTGTATTTCTGAATATTTCATAAACCATCTGTCTAATTAGTCATCCAGTCTCAAGGTGACGCTTTCACACACCGAAGACAAAAAAAGCTGCAAATTTGCCCGATTTCAGATGCAAAGTCCCATTTTTGCTTTAAAAGTTAAATAGCCGATTATTCTATAATGAGAATAGTTGCTGATTACATTTAAGTAATCCACAAAGCTCTGATTCCTGAGGTGTGTGTGTGTGTGTGTCATTAATTCCTTATGGTTGCACGTATGAAGTCTGTCTCCAACTTGTTGCCCCTTGCTGCCGTGGTATTGGTGGTGGGGGGTGGGGGGGCACACGGGTTGACTGTTGTGTGTCTGCAGGACGGCAGCGGGGCCCTCCAGCGCAGCGGCTCCATTGGGAGGCTCCGGGACGTCCTGCGTCGCAGCAGCGAGATGCTGGTGAAGAAGCTGCAGGGAAACGGGCCGCCTGAACCCCGCAGCACCAAGTAAGCGCTCAAGCCCCGCCCCCTCCTCTTGTGTAGTTCTTCTTGTTCAGAGTTCAGAGTTCAACTCTCCCCAACTTCTCTTGAGTTGATCTCACACCCTGCCTGAACATTGTTGTCTTACTCTTCGTTCCGCAGCATGAAGCGAGCCGCTTCCCTGAACTACCTGAACAAAACCAGCGAGGACCCGTTCCAGGTGGGCAACACTGCTGCTCCTTTTCGACGTACTACATGTCTACACATTTCTTTGGCTGTGTTATCGGAAGTGTGATGTTTGCACATTGGTGTCTGTTCCCCCCCCCCGTCAGACGCGGACAGGCAGTAACTTCCGGGGGAGCCGGGGCCTGAGCTCCAGCACCGTGGATCTCTCCTCTGGAAACTGAGCAGCCGATGCGTTCAAGGACCAAAAGAAGCTCCTCCAGCTCGTCCTCTGAGCGCAGTGATCCCCATCAACACACACACACACACACACTCTGCCCGGCGTCCAACCCAAAGACCTCCCACATTCGGACCCAAAGACTTTTTCATTCATCAAAACAAACACACATAATGCAGTTTGTCTTAAATCCAGGTTGTTGCTTTTTCCGGTCTTGCGGGGACCAACCGCCTTGTTATTTCCCCCTCGTGTTCCAAGTGTCGCCTCTGTGCCTCCGGAGTGTTGCCAAGACAACAAACGCCACCGCTCCTTATTATTTATAGTCAATGTGACTCTGCACTTGGCTGCCATATTTTTGTGAGTTCTGATCCTTTTTCTGTCATTTTGAATCAGGATATTTTGGTTATTTTGTCTTGTGCCATTCATTGTGCACAATAAAGTGCAAAGTAGACATAAAATATCTTTTTTTTTTTTCTCGAAATAGAAGTATAGTAAATAGGATGGTTGGAAATTATGTAAAGATGACACTATTCATAGAAATCATTTCATTTTAACTGTTTTGCCTATTGAGATTTATTTGCAATGCTGGTTAAAGCTTTTTGGGGAAACTGGGTGACATTGAGTCATGCGGCTTGTTCAGGGTCCTTTAGTTCATAAATGGTTTTAGAAAACGTTTAATAATTAAAACGACCTCTACAGCTTCGATATCCAAGTGTGTTTTTCAACACAGGGTTTTCTGCCACTGCAGAGAAAATGCAGAATTAATCTTTGACCAGTTAAGATCAGAGAGTACTGATATACAACCACGAAGTTCAACACGCAGGAGGAGACTGAACTGAGTCCTCCATCCTGGTCCTCAGCAGCAGGCGGCTTCTGCAGGTTTGAGCGTTTCTTCTTCTGATGTCATTTACAGTGACTCAAAACGTGTGATGCGTGTCTCCATGTGTGATAATTATGATGATGATGTGTGTTTTTGCACAATTCCCGGATGGGTTTCTTCTGTCTTTGATTAAGAACTGGAATGTCTCGTGATTATTATTATTGTTGTTTTTCTGATCGTTGTACATGTCATTCTATTCATCATTTGAGATAAATATATAAGCCTACAACAGATTCTGACCATTCATATATAGAGTTCACCATGAGATCAATGAGAAGAGAATTTAGTGTCCTCGTTAGTTGTTTGTATCTGATCGATCACGGATAAAACCTGATGATGAATCCTAACCACTTCCTGATTCAGGGATTCAAGAAAATAAAACCTAAAATGTATTCTTGTGTGAGATTGTACGTGGCTGACATGTTTGTTCATACGTGTGTTTCTGGAGTGACTTAAATACTTGTTGGGCCTTTGTCTTTGAGCCAGATCGCTGTAACACAGTTCACCCCACCGGGTGAGCTCTTGAGTCGGTATCTGACTTATTGTGGGAACCCTCACGCCAACATGCGATCGGTCTCCCGGGGTTTCTCCCTCCTCCACCTGGGGTTTCTCCCTCCTCCACCCGGGGTTTCTCCCTCCTCCAGGTGATCTCTCGGTATTCCAGTGCTTTCATGTGAAGCCTGAAACGCCTTCACCACAGCTGACCCCAGCATGAACGCCACCCTCATCGGAGACTGCAGAGGACCCACCAGTTCATGCTGTTAAATCGGAGACCTGGTCCGTCTCCGTGGCAACCAACCCGCACAGTGTTGAACTGCCGGCCCTGATGTCTGACCGAGGCTCGGATCGACTCCGTACGATGGAGCCGTTAAAACGTACTAGTTGAGCCGGTGGCTTCATCAGCTCTTGGCGCCGCAGGGAGCATGTGAACGTTTGGGTGAGGGGGACGGGGAACGGCAAATGTCCTCATTTCCAATTGAGTCCATTGATCATTCATTGCCACAGTATAATGAATACATGTACCCTGAAAAAGGGTTTGTCAAATAAGTCCTTATTTTAATTTGGCAGTTGATTTTAAAAGGGAGTGTCAGTGGAAGTAAGCATTAAGAGTTGTCATAATTTGAGGCTTTTAGAAGCGTCATACAAAATGTGTTCTGTGATATTTAGTGACGTATGAATAAACCTATTTTACCCATTTGTGTTTTTTCCTCAGAAAGGTGAATCTTGCCCAATCATTGTGGCTGCAGGTAAACCTTGATTTATATTACCAATATAACAAACTATTTTAAATTATTATCCGGGTAGATGAAATCCAGCGTTGTGATTGGTTGAGAGCGAGTCACGGGGGGCGCATTATTTAGCGAGTATGTACAGTTGCTGTTCTCATTGACCCGAGTGTTCCGTATCACTGCGCACTCAAACAGGTTCGCTTTTGTTCGACCGTTAGTTGACATTTTAGCTCGGTGGCGACCGCCGAAATCCCCCAAATGATCGCGTTCGCAACCGGACAGTAGAGGCGGACGTCATGAGCGATGTGAATGACTGAGATGCTGTTTACACGGACTATCTTTTCTCTAGACATCGGTTGGTGACTACAACTATTTATTTACTATTTGGAATGACTTGAGGCTGCGCGTCGAGCCCCCGAACGCTAAAGCCTCTCGTACCTTATTGCTTTAAGACACATGCACAAATATCCGGATTTGTTCACTTGGTGGCGCACTATCAAAGTTTTTCTGAATTGTTTCCATAGCAACAGCACAGAATGAGCGGATACTTTGGCCTGATCTTCAAATGGCTAATGGTTTCTACGCTGTTCAGAAAATGAAACCTCACCATCGTTCAGATTCATTTAATTGGTCTCAAGAGATGGATATTTTTTCATGTATACTTAATTTCATTAAGAGCACCAGGAAAAATTCTTGGACCTAGAAACAATGTCCTGAGATTGGATCGAAAATTGAAATTACCTCAAAAGGAGGTTTAGTCTTCAGTGGTTTTATGTATTCTGGTTTTAGTTGAGTAAATCAAATCATGGATTCATTTGTGTGGGGTGTGGTAAGATTTTACCGACTGTTCTTTAAATCTCGTTCATTTTACTGAACGAGTCATGCGGTGGTGTTGCGTACATTAGGTTCACTGAATATGAATACTGAAAAATGTCATGCCTGCATAATAATCTCCTGCTCTATGAAGTAGACACAACAAAATATATGCTTAAATTCCTTTTATTGTTTTCTGGAATTTATAGAGTACAAGAATGTAGCTTGCTGGAATCGGCAGAATTATGTAACCAAATACTGCCGAGCTCTTCAGCAGTCAGCTGCTGATGTGGAGAGAGGGACCTAGTACTCCTCTCCTTCATCCTCCTCCCCGACGCTGTCGGTGCCCACCTCCTCGTAATCCTTCTCCAGGGCGGCCATGTCCTCTCTGGCCTCTGAGAACTCCCCCTCCTCCATCCCCTCTCCAACGTACCAGTGGACAAAGGCCCTCTTGGCGTACATCAGGTCAAACTTGTGGTCGAGTCGAGCCCAGGCCTCGGCGATGGCGGTGGTGTTGCTCAGCATGCAGACGGCCCTCTGCACCTTGGCCAGGTCTCCTCCAGGAACCACAGTGGGGGGCTGGTAGTTGATGCCCACCTTGAAGCCGGTGGGGCACCAGTCCACAAACTGGATGGTGCGCTTGGTCTTGATGGTGGCGATGGCTGAGTTGACATCTTTGGGCACCACGTCTCCGCGGTACAGCAGGCAGCAGGCCATGTATTTGCCGTGGCGAGGATCACACTTCACCATCTGATTGGCCGGCTCAAAGCAGGCATTTGTGATGTCAGCCACCGAGAGCTGCTCGTGATAGGCCTTCTCCGCTGAGATAACTGGAGCGTAGGTGGCCAAAGGGAAGTGGATACGAGGGTAGGGCACCAGGTTGGTCTGGAACTCCGTCAGGTCTACGTTCAAGGCTC